TTATCTTTTTAGACTCGCTTTCAATTGACTTTTTGTTTTAGTGCTATTGTTAGTTAGTTATTTTCTTTTTTTGATTGTAAAGCGATATAGAGCTTTTGTATATACCGCTATACAAATGAAGTTATTATTATTATTATTATTATGTTCTCTTTTGGAGAGATTTGTATTTCACTGAATGTATTTAAGTATCTAGACGTTTCTTCAGAGGTTGGCTGACTTACAATTCCCTTTTTTTTGTGCTTAACTGATCAGGCCATTCAATATCTGTTAGCACCAGTTGTATAACTTTTATCTGCCTTTTTGTTGGCTTTTTTTGTTTGTTTCTTTTCACTTGGGCTTGTTCTTTTCTAGTCTAGGTTCCAAATTTAACCTATCTAGGGATGAGGCACAGCTAGCTTTAATCTCTTACAACTTTCCTTTAATTCACCCTTTATACAAGAAATACTAACATCTGTGAAACGTTGTTTACCTTTTGTTTTTAGTTTTCTATTTTAAACATTAGTCTCTGCACTATTTCATCATACTGCCCATATTTTACTTTCCTCATCAAGACTGGGTGAGGAGGTGGGGGGTGTTATTATTTTTTTTGCTCAAGAGGGTGGATGTCTTTGCTTTCGTGATGTGCGCGCGCAAGCTCATCACACCCGCCGAAAATAGCTCGTCTGTGGGGAAATGTATGTGAGGATGAAGAAGTAAAAAGTCCAAAGTAAAAAAAAGAAAGTTGCTAACTGTTTTACACTAGTACAAATAAACAGGGTAAATAATTTTGTGCGAGTCTGTCCTAATTATAAACAGGGTATTACCTGCACGATTGATCTGATTTGCTTAATGAAATTTGTTTGCACTGCAAGTATACAAAAGCAATTGCAATTGCCAATAAATGGCTTTAAAACAAGACGGCATGGATTCTGTCCTTTGTCCTAAACGATGTAATTGAATTGAGAGTGTTATCCTCAACAAGGCATGTATTGAAGGATTTTTGGTCCTAAACTGGGTCAGGTTTCTAACCCTCAGCGGCTCACTTATAACCAAATATTGGTCAAGTACCCCTTCCCCCCGCCCCCGCTGAGGGCAGAAACTGACACCATTTTGGAAACTGAGAAGCCCTTGGGAAGAGGAGAGACTCTTGGAACTAGAAAGATCACGCGACTGCAATATGCCGGTTCGTAGAAGGCAAAGAAATAACAACTGGACACCACAAAAAAACGGGGAGTCATTTGTTTTTACAGTTTAGGAAAGTCATTTCGCCATTTCGTGTTTTGAACACCCCCCAGTGTTTGTATGGGGTAAAAATTGCGATCCTAAAAATAAATACTAGATTAGGGTCAGAGAGTAGTTTCATTGACCTTTTATTTAGTATTTCCTACAATTTTTATCCCATACAAACACTGTAATTTTCTCCCGGTCTCCTGATTAGAGTATGAAGTCTCCCGGACAGTCTTTGTAGTTTGCCACTTCGTCAGCAGACTTGACTTTCCGAAAACAAAATTTCAAATATTTTGCGATGTTTGAGCTATTTTAATGTTAACATTCAGTGAACATTGAAAGTTTACTTATAAAGTCTGGTATGCCATTGTACTAATATAATAATGTGATTGGTGGGAAGTAAACCAATTAGGTCAAATGTTGCAATGCTAACTACATCTTTTTCGCAAAATCGTGACGATCGGAGTGAACGAGTATTTTTTGCACAAATGACATCATGTGCCTTGCGTTACGATGTCATCTATCATCCAAAACGGAGGGGCTGATTTCCGAGGGGCTTTAAGACAACCGGAATAGAAAAAGCGCCTCGAAACAAACTATAGCAGAGCTGATCAAAATACGCCAATTGAATTTCAAAAGGTCATAATAAATCAAATTTATTTGAAGGAAAGTGAGAAGGCGGGGTTTATATCTGGGAGGGGGGGGGGGGGGGCTTATAATCGGATGTATTTTTTGATTACAAGTCAGATGGACCTATAACTGAGGGGGGGGGGTGGGGGGCTTATAAGCAGCAGTTTATGGTATGACCTTTTTGTAGAAAAGTGGGAAAAAGTTTAGGATCGCCTCTAAGACCGTTATTCAGTAATGAGATATTTTAAACTGACTTTATGAAATTACCACAAATTTAGACCACTCGTAGCTCACCTTTACGTTCTTTTACAGTCCACAAAGACACCCTTTTCACGACGCTAAATAGTCAAATTGTATACCCTTTTTAAAAATCCATTCCCTGTTAAGCGATACCTCGCCCCGCCACTCCACGACGTGTTATTTAGTAATAGACTGTTCTTGACGTTCAGATAGTGGAGAGAGGCGTGAACTGGAGAGCGGATGGAGAGCAGATAAGAAAAAAAGGGGGGGGAGACAAAGAAACTTTTCTTTGCCGTGTTCCCACGATCTGAACGCCTGGGACAAGCCAGTTTAATTTTGACGTTTTCACTTTTGGGAGTGAGAGGGTCTTAATCGCTAGCATCCAGTTGTAAATGACTTTCGATATGTGATAAAGAACTTGCAAAAAACTATGTCATTGACTACCCACGTTCATAAGTGTAGGCAGGCTCCTGGTGTAGGACGTAGAAGTCTGGGGCTGAGACCCAGGAGCATGATGGGATATGAAAAATTCTGGTGTTCTGTAGAGAAGTTTTACTGAACGGATTTTATTCGATTGCCAAATAAAGTTAAAGGAAAGTCAAGACAGCGTAACATAAGCAGTTCTTGACTATTTGATCTCCCGTGTGACGTCAAGTTACGTACCTTCTTATTTGGGAGTCGCCCAAATAGAGTAATGGAGATAGCTTGTTTTGATTCAAAGTTGCCACAGGCACGCAATACGTGCGAATGTAAACACGCCGAGTAAACAAGCCAAGTGCCGCGACTAGAATAGTGAGTTTACGCAACAGGACGGTAGAAAGAAGAGGACGGCAAAACGCTTGAGTGTGACAAACGTGACGGGGATATTACTTGCGTGTTTTGTCGGGAATTCACTTAACATTGTTGTTTTTAGCTCTTCGACGAAAAGATCTGTTTAAAGGAATGTGAAGTTTGGCGGAAGGTTTCTTCAATGAAAATTATTGTCACGCTTGTCACACAAGGTTTTCCGCCGTCTTTCCTCTCCCGTCCTGTTGCGTAAGCTCACTAATGTCTGCCACGGGATGTGTTACGGCACAGCATTCATCCTCGTTACATACGTCCCACAAATAACGCACGGCAAATAAATCGGCAATAGAACACACACACACACACGCTGATCTGAGTTTCAGGCCTTAATAAGAGGTAAGGGGAAATTAAGACGAAACAGTGGGGCGAGAAAAGAGGGAGAAAGGCCTGACACACAAAGGCCTTCTTCTTCTCTTCACTATCTTCCCTTTCCTCTTGATCTAGAAAAGCCCAGGCTAGTAAAAAGCACCAGCGGTTAGAAAATGCATTTTCTGGTCATGTGATCTGCTACTTTTCATGTCCTGAAAGGTTGTTTAGACCGATAGTCAATCGGTACCAGCCAAGTGAAACGTTTTCCCGTTTTCCAGTAGTAGCTGTAATTGATTCTCTTTTTTTCGATAATGATTGTAGTAGTTTCTCTATTGTCCATTGTAGTAGTTGCTATTGAGGCTGTACTATTAATTTTTATTTTAGATGTTGGACGACTTTGATGTTTGATCATGGCATCACCTTTACAGAAAGCTCAAACGCATGATGACCGAGTACATGGATCTCGCAAAGTGAAAGTCACTATTTTGGCATCTGAATGGGGACCAAGTAACAGGGGACTTTCTACCATTAACAGAGAATTAGCCATTCAGTTAGCCAAGTTCCCTGAATTGGAAATAACTTTCTTTTTACCAAAATGCAGTCAAGAGGACAAAAACATAGCCCTTGACCACAAAGTAAAGATCGTAGAGGCAACGCCACTTTCTTGTTTTGAACAGCTTGATTGGCTTTGCTTTCCACCAGACGATTTGGAAATCGACATAGTTGTTGGTCATGGAGTTAAACTTGGTAAACAAGCGCAGATCATTAAGAAATATAAACCGTGCAAATGGGTTCAAGTGGTACACACAGACCCTGAGGAACGTGGGATGTTTAAAAGCTGTTCCTGCCCAATTTCAAAGGGTGAAGAAAAGCACAAGAACGAAGTAGAACTGTGTGAAATGGCTGATCATGTTGTAGGAGTTGGACCCAAGCTGAGCGAGGCCTTTCGCTCATATCTTTCTGGTTGTAAGAAAGATGGTAGTGTCTTTGAACTCACTCCTGGAGTATTTGAAGAGTTTGAGACTGTAAAGCAAGTCAGCCGAAGCGATAGGCAACAACGCAGAGTCTTGGTGTTTGGCCGTGGAGCCGTAGAAGATTTTGAATTAGAGGGATTTGACATCGCTGGGAGAGCGATTGCTGCATTACAAGATACTCGTCTTGTTTTTGTTGGGGCACCGGATGGAAAACACGAAGAAATTGCGAAGCGGTTAATGGAGTATGGTGTTCCTGCAAGTCGATTGAACGTAAAAGGATTTGATCGAGACCGAGAGAGTTTAAAGCGTTTATTACAACAAGCGGATCTTGTAGTCATGCCTTCAAGAACAGAGGGATTTGGTTTAACAGGACTCGAGGCAATGTCGGCTGGTCTCCCTGTGCTTGTCAGTCGCAACTCTGGCTTTGGAGAAGCACTGCGCACTGCAGCTTTTGGTTCAGCATTTGTGATTGAGTCAGAGGACCCCACAGTGTGGACCGCAGCCATTGAAAAGATCTGGAACAAGGACAGGGAATGTCGACTTGAGGAAGCGGTGAACTTGCGTGATTCCTATGGCAGGAAATACAACTGGACCAAACAGATAAAGGAGTTAGTTGACAAGATGATCAGCCTGACTCATGGTGGGAATGTCAACTATATTTTCTTCAGTGGCGCATTATAGTGTCGTAGCATGGGGAGGGAGGGCCCCCAGGCATGTTTAATTTGGTCAGCAGCCCGTGACGCCTTCACGCTGCTCTTTGGTTCAATGTGTTTATTTCGGTTCGATAAAGCATGAAAGTTATTTGTTTATGGCTTCAACGGTTAAAAATTGCTGGAAACTATATTTCAAAATCTTCCGGGGGAGCATGCCCCAGGACCCCCTAGCAACTCAAGCCTTCGGCACTCGTGATTGGCCCCCCCCAAAAAATCTAACCTTGCTACGGCACTGCATTATCAGGTAACAATAGAGAGAGAAATGAAAGAAACAAAAATAGGATCGCTTACAACGAAGTTTTGCCCTGAAGTCTTGATAAAAATGTTCGCGGATACCTATCTGAACCTTACGCTGAAAACATCAAAACTGTAATCTTTGTAATTTCTTCAGGTACATTGGTTGCAGCGGAATGGTCTTTGGAGTATGGTGTTTAATCCCCGCCAAAAATCAACTTTGGTACTCAACATTCAACTTGGCGAAATCGTGACCTCGTTTCGCGGACAGCGTAAAGTTTTCGCCAAAATGTACTCATCGCGTCTGAGACGAGTTCAATATCTTTTCAACATCTGAGTACAAAAAAAGATGACCAGATTTATATGTAACGCCGAGCACTGATTACTGAAATTGGAAAGTTGAAAGTTGGGTGCTGCAACTTAATGTTAGCCGCTCAAGTTGAATGTTGAGTACTACGAAGAGCGGTCGTCATACCCTTCGGTCATAGTCTTCATCTGCAGCACTTCACATATGTGATTATAGTTATACACATATAATCCCTGCCATAGCATGTTTTCTCCATTTTGTTGCAATAGAAGATTCTCCAAAGGCCCGGAGCTCCTTCGAAACAAAGTGCAACGCGAGGATGGAAAGCATGACTGACGACCATGAAGGTACCTTCGTAGACAGCACGCGTAGAAATCATTTCTGTCTATTTTTAACCAAGTGTGAGAAGCGCGGGAGGCGCGCGAGAGCGAGCAAAAAATAGAGACAGAGAGAGAGAGAGAGAAAACGCCGGCCGCTGAGCTTCCATCCTAGGAATACACAACCTAATATAATCTCAACTGAATAAGTGCCTGAAGTCCAATTATGTTGTTTGCAAAGCAAAATTAGGTAGAATCGAGTTACTTTAAAGTTGCAAACACTTTTCAGGCAATAGGTCTGGGTTTTGCCTGATACTGTATTTCAATGTCACATAGTAGCCTGTCATCACTCTACAATGCCCCTTAGAGCACGTGCGAAGAATATGAGGATGATTATACCTAGAAAAGTGCTTTTAGTCTACCAAATGAGCTCGCTGACAAAGAACATACATGTACGAGAGAATCGTGAGAGACATTTCAGTGATCTTTAACGAATTTAGAGTTGCTCTTTTGTGATTTTTGTGCCATTATTATTCCCAACAAATGTCCGCCCCAGGGAGGAATGGGCACACCTACTGGAATTGACTGAGCCTTAAGTTTCAAAGAAATTTTAATTGTAACCAAAGCTTGTTTTTGCAGAGCCTTCTATAGAAATTGAAAACAACCAAAGAACAAACTCTTATCACGAGGAGCAGCTTGTTTCAGAAACGACCCTTCCGCGTAGTTGTGACGGTGTAATGAAAGCTGATGCTGCATCAGGCAATCAAACTAAAATATCCACGAATACAGACTCTCCGACTCAAAATAGCCGTAAGCGTAAAATGTCAAAACTCTCTTGTAATCCAGGTATACAAAAACATGACTTGTTTTCTTGCTATTGCTCATCGGTACTCTATTATTTTAAAGGGGGGAAGTGATTGTTAGATTATTCAAAGGTACTTTTTCCTACAGGACTTGTTACCGTTTATGCTCGTACTATAGAAGTGTATTGTTGATGATAGTAAAACTTATAGTGCCGATATCAATAGTCGCTTGATAATTAAAATATATCAAACATTAAAATTATAAAAATTACTTTGGGTAAAAATTACTTTGGATACTTTAACTGTCCAAACTGAATAAAACCTACCAAAAACGAGTAATGAAATTGCATCTTATTACATACATTGTAGGGGCTTTCTGGAATGAAATGTTTTGAGTACCTTCTTAAAAAATGACCACTGAGGGGCTTCTCCAGATCGCGAAAAAAAAACAAATGCCAAAGTTTGGGAGCAGCAACAGCAAAAGAGCGATCTCCTAATGTGGTTTAAGTCCTGTCTCCATTATCCCATTTTAAATATCTTAGTGACAAATATTTTCAAAAATATGTGCGAACAGGTTTTGTAATTTTGCAAATTGTATCTTTCACCGAATTGCTATAAACGTTAACATTCTATTGACATTCAAGTATGCAGCTAATAAATTATGAATCTGTGATAACGCCCTTACTAAGTTACCTTGTGGAGGCTCTTTGTGGATGCCTCTTTGGCTATAGGTGAGGCGCCTGAGGAGACATTCCATAATGATAAGTACCTTGACGAGAGCCGTCTCTTAAATTCAGGTACTTCAAGCGAGGAGAGCGGAACCCTTTCTTACAGAAGCATATGTCCTCCAAGATAACTAGTCATGAAGGTTCATCTTCCCTGAGGAAGGAACCTCTCACGTAACAGTAAAAATTATATTAACAACGTAAATTTGTGTAAGTAGGTAAATAAATAAGTGTTAAGTTATTGTGCATGCTGAATGTTTGCTATAGTTTTAAAAACATTTAACTTCCCTCTTATTGATTTTCAGACTCTGTTGTTATTACTGCCTTGATCGAAGTTCTAATTTCTTCGAATACCCAAGATTTAACTGCTGCACAACAAAGAATATTAAAAGAGGAATTAGAACAGTTGGTTCATAAGTATCGAAGACACCAAGATCTTTCGTCATTGCCAGTTGATAGTAGTGTAGCCCGCCTTACTGAGTATATCGAAAAGGCTTATGAAGTGGCCGTAATGATGGTAAAATCAGGATCTTTGATAATAACTGTGCAGTGCCTCACTCTGGAGAGTCTTGAAAGTCTGTGGAATGGTTACTGTTCTGGTCACCTTAATGACATCGTTGAAAGGTTCCTAGTGACTGATGAACTCAAGAGAAGGCTCGGGATGGACAATGTCAGATTGAAGACAACTATAGAAGAAGAAAACTACTTGATTTGTAAGAAAGCTTTCATGGAAAACTCAGGTGAGTGGAGCAGTCTCAGTAGAGCTTTTTTTGGGAACATGTATTTTGGCTTAATAAGTTTTATGGAACAATTTTTATTTCTGTATCAAATATCAGTAATGAGCAAATAAAATGGATAGTAACTGGTGAAATTTTTGTTTTTCGAAACATTTAATTAAAAGTGAAAGAGCATTTAGTGCAAAAATCCAGCTAAATCAGGTTGCCATCTTGGCTGTGTACAATGACAACTGTTGTAAGTGCAGAGGTAATTTCAGCGGAATGGTCTGTGGAGAGGGGTCGTCATACCTTTCGGTCATAGTCTTTATTTGCAGCACATCACATATTTGATTATAGATATACAAGCATAATCCCCGCAATAGCATGTTTTCTCCATTTTCTTGCAACAGAAGATTCTCGAGAGGCCCGGAGCTCCTTAGAATCAAAGTACAACGCTTCTCGGCGGATGGAAAGCATAACTGACCATGAAGGTATCTCCTTAGGTAGGACGAGTAGAAATCATTTCTGTCTTTAGTAAAATCCAACTAGTGGTCTATTATCAATGCTGCGTTCTGATTGGTTGAGCTACTACTAGGCTATATGTTATAGCCCACTAGTAGCGAAAAGCGCCGGATTTTTGGCGGCAAAAAGGATTAAAGTCTTGCTTTAAGTTGTTTTGTCGCGATATTTTTGACCAACTAGTTGGATTTTACTGAAACAATTATTCCTCTCGCCCTCATGGCCTCTGAGTCAATAGCCCGCTATTGACTCAGAGCCCATTCGGGCTCGAGGAATAATTGTTAAATAGTTTAACCAAGTGGAAAAGCGCGGGAGGGGCGCGAGAGCGATCAAAAAATAGGAACGGGGAAAGAAATAAAACGCCGAAGGCTTAGCTTCTATCCCAGGAGTACAAGCTAATACGTAACCTAATATACGATGCCCAACAAATGTTCATCCCTGTGAGGAATGACGTGGAATTGACTAAGCCTTAAGTTTCAACGAGATTATTATTGTAATCAATTATAAAGCTTGTTTTCGTAGAGCCTTCTATGGAAATTGAAAACGACCGCAGAAGTTCGTGTGCTTGGCATACGGTGTTTATTCCTTCCTCTGAAGGAATATTTGTGTAAAAACTAGTAACATCCATTGAAACTAGGATCGCGTTCTCAGGAACTTTCCTCTCCTCTATAACGTTAATAAATTGTGTGGTATCTTTGAGATCCTTTGAGGTAGGATTTTTGTGCTTTAACGATCGGCTGAAGACTGTGGTCTAAGAATGATGATATTCGCTCTGTTGGGCGGCGTCGCAGCCCGAATTTATAGGTCTTCCAGTTAGAGTTGGTTTGTGATTGTGAAACTTGGTTAGTGTGTAGAAAAGTGGTATGCGCGGTAGGCAAGGTGTTTGTGAAAGCCATTTCTTGGTCATTGTGTCAATATGACCTCCTTGATGAACCTGGCCCTCTTGTATTTTATCATTTTTGTTCATTATGACAGTTGTGGTGCCCTTGTCTGCCCTTTTTTATTATTATTTCTGTGTTAGATCTGAGTTCTTTAAGTGCTATACGTTCTCTGAAAGGCAGGTTATTTCGTGGCAGTGGCCTTTGCGAACATTTTTATGTCCAGAATTGAAACAGAAATTATCAGTAAAAGCAAGACTAAACCCCTCGAGTGGAAAAAATGCATTGACGATGTTTTCTCGCTGTGGCAAAAAGGAAGGGAGACGATAAATCAGTTTGTTTTAGAAGCAAACAGACATCATCCTAAGATAAAATTTACGGCTGAAATTTCAGAGAAGGAAATACTTTTCCTAGACACCACTATCTTTAAGGGCGAGAGATTTTACGAAGACCCTATCCTTGACATCCGTACACATTTTAAACCGACACAGACATTTCAATACACGCATTTCACTTCCTGGCACGCTCCGGGCGTGAAAAAAGGATTTAGTAAAGGCAAAGCACTGGTTTAGACTTCTGAGAACCAACTCTTCAAAAAAATTATTTGAAGAAAGCGTTAACAACTTCAAGTCACACTTGCGTGTCCGAGGATATCCAGATAATATGGTAATTAACGTCCTCGCAGAAGTTAAATTTACGGATAGAGAGTCGGAACTTCAGCAAAAACTACAAGGAGAAAAGAACACTCTAAGGCCTTTGTTACACAGTACAACCCATCAGTGCCTAGTCTTAAAAAGGTTCTAATTAATGGACAAGTCTAATTTAATTGAAAATCACCCATTGCTGAGTACAATATACAGAGAACCACCTCTCATCTCCTACAGAAGAGGGAAGTCTCTAAAGGACATACTTGTTAGAGCTAAACTTTGAAGGTCAAAATACTATCACATCGCGATACAGCGTAGCCTGCGAAAGCATCCGTTTCTCCTCGCTCTTCGCCGCTGGGGACGTTTCCCGAGGAGGAAAACGGGAAACGTCCCCAGCGGCGAAGAGCGAGGAGAAACGGATGCTTTCGCAGGCTACTCAGTATTTCACAAGATAAAAAAAGTGAATGAATTATCGTTCAAAACGTAAATATATAATCAACGCCTGAACGTTTACTTTAAATTAACCCTAAAATCTAGTTTTTGTTTCCACACCAAAGATAGGAAAACAAAATGTCTACACATTCAGTTCATTGTCTTTTTTATCATTTATTTTTAGATCCTTGTTACTGAACATTTCCTCTTTCTCATTCACACTGAGCTATTTACTTCTTATTGAATTCATGTTACCATTGCATTACTTCATTCACGCACGTCTTCTTTACAGTTGACCTGGCAACACTTAGCTTTGTTTTTCAGTCACAAGAAAGTTTAAAGGATCAGTGTAACTTTTTCATACCAACCCAAACTGTAATTTAATTCATTTTTATAAAATAAAATTTTGAGGATGACGTTATAAAGATATTCATATTTCCATGAGTTCTGTGATTCTGCCCTTGTATAATAGTTTAGTATCGGCCAACGTCACAGATAAAGTTAAAGTTGGAAAAAATTCCTTGGAAAGGGAATGCGCTTCCAAAGTAGCGTTTTTATTGCTACTAGGGGACAAGTAGTAGCATTCTAAAGCAAATTGCAGGATGATAGTTAGATGATACTGTCACAGCAGATATTTCAATGTTATCTTTAGAACGGAACTCAGTTTCACCAGAGCGTTATTGTAGCAATTCTGCACTGCTCAGCAAATCTACTCCGCAGCTGAAATATGTGTATTATTTAAATGTAAAATAGCAGGCAGTGACATGTGCACAAATATTGGAACATCTGACATATAATTTCAATAGAACACGTGTACTTCTACACGTGTCTCTTTGTTAGACAAGAACTATTTTACATTTCAAAGGAACAACTGTTGTGCTCTATTCATTCAGCTTGATTTACGACATGTGTGTTTCTAAAAGTCCAGGAACCGAAATAGGAAGTATTGTATTTTCACCATAAAGGAAAATTCTTTTAACCAATCGAATTGTAACGCGTTGATCAGCTAGCACGAGTATTTTTGAATAGGTTTTTGTGTTCCTTTGTGATAATCGAACACCTGTGTTTACTGTAGACTGTATAAAAGTAGTGCTTAAACTGTTGTAAATTGATTACCTAGCCTGCGATTTCCTGCGATGATTGCCCGCGATTACATGTGAAGTACTATCTACGAGGTTTACTGTACAATAAAGAAGTTGCAGCATTACAGAAAAGTCTCAGTTCTTGTTCCAACCTTCGTACCTTGGGACGTGGAAATTAGACCCTGTACCTCTGGCAGTAGTAACGAGTTCCAGGAACGAGCCAGTCGCTCTACCGAATTGCAGTTTCCCCTGTCAATAACTTCTATTAGCAGATCACTATTTGCTAATTCTCGCGCCCTCGCGAAGAGCTTTCGTTGTTTTCCTGTCAAATTAGTTTGACAGGCCGAAAAGCCGCCTGACGCGGTGAAATTTCCTCTCTTTACAATACTGACAATAAATAACTTCATGTAAATCCCGAGGGGTACCGTCCCTTGTATAAGCCAAATAGTTCAATTTTGGTATGTGTCGCTCCAAAGGATATGGTTTCTTTTTGCCCACTTTGGTCTAGAATCGAGTATGGTTTTCGTTGGAGTTACAGGAGTGCATGAACGTAATTATCATTTCAACTCCAAATCAGTAAGAAAGAAAGAGAAATATGCGAATTCGAAATGGATTTGAAGAATTTCTTTTGTTTGCACTCTAATTTAAGAGATGATGACATAATTTCTGCCTAAAGATCAGGTCTGAAAACGGGTATGGATTTGGTCTGGTCTGGTGTGAAAACGTGTTTTCTAAGTGTCGAAACAGCATCGACTCTACTTTATGCTCAAGAAACCACAACCGGTCATCTGCAAAACCACTCTTGTTTACCTGATCGCTTGGTTATTCGAATTAAGATAGAATACTTTCAAACGATTAGAAAGACGGAGGGATGTTTCAGACTCTCGAAAAATAAAAAAAAAATACTTAATTGATTTCGTTTTTAACTAAAATGACCGTCTGGCCGGCCACTGTCCGACTTTGGCAAGCGCCCTTAGTGTTCATCGCTCTTCGACATGGATTAGCTTTCTTTGGATAGTTAAAAAGGGTGTTCTAGATGGAAAAAGAAAATGAACTCTCACTGGAGAGAATGAAAAGGAAGCTCACACTGATCGGGAATGACTTCAGCAGATTTTCAAATTGTATGACATGGATCTTAAGTTGAGCTGAGCTTCTTGATCAACTACAACGTTGCGGCAACGGAAACATCTTTCATGAATCTGCGCTGCTGGGGAATTATGGCATATGTTCTTATTTGTTTTGTCGTTTGTTCTATTTTTATGTTGTTGCGCGGAAGCACCTCAAGTAAGCAAAGCATCTCGAGCCTGAGGCGGGGTACTTTAGGAATTTTGGGGTGGGAATGTGTCGCTTGGACCCTAAAACCCTTGGCCTATACCAGAGCTAGTTCAGCTGATTTTTGCTATCCTATACTAGACTAAACTCTCCAAATCCCCCCTATCCTAGAATAGCCTTTGGGCTGAGTTGCCTGTAAATTTAAACTTGCCGATTTGATTTTTTAGGTATTTTTGAGTGGCAATTCCCGGTTTCCCTAGCCTAGACTAACTGATGAGTTTCCTGGAAAAATGATACCCTATTCTAGACCGAAACTCTCTGATTTATATACACTCTATGCCAAAGTAAACTCTATAAACCATACCCTTCACAAAGCATCTCAAGCAAGCAAAGCATCTCAAGTAAGCAAAGCATCTCAAGTAAGCAAAGTATCTCAAGTAAGCAAAGCATCTCAAGTAAGCATAGCATCTCAAGTAAGCAAAGCACCTTAAGCAAGCAAAGCATCTCAAGCAAGCAAAGCATCTCAAGTAAGCAAAGTATATCAAGTAAGCAAAGTATCTCATGTAAGCAAAGTATCTCAAGTAAGCAAAGCACCTCAAGTAAGCAAAGAATCCCAAGTAAGAAAAGTATCTCAAGTAAGCAAAGTATCTCAAGTAAGCAAAGTATCCCAAGTAAGCAAAGCACCTCAAGTAAGCAAAGTATCCCAAGTAAACAAAGCACCTCAAGTAAGCAAAGTATCCCAAGTAAGCAAAGTATCTCAAGTAAGCAAAGCACCTCAAGTAAGCAAAGCATCCCAAGTAAGCAAAGTATCGTAAGTAGGCAAAGCACCTCAAGTAAGCAAAGCATCCCAAGTAAGTATTAAGCATCGCAAGTAAGCAAAGCATCTCATGTAAGCAAAGCAACTCAAGCAAGCAAAGCATATCCCAAGTAGGCAAAACACCTCAAGTATGCCAAGTAAGAAAAGCATCTCAAGTACGCAAAGCATTGCAAGTAATTAAGCAAAACACCTCAAGTAAGCAAAGTATCGCAAGTAAGCAAAGCACCTCAAGTAAGCAAAGCATCCCAAGTGAGTATTAAGCATCGCAAGTAAGCAAAGCATCTCAAGTAAGCAAAGCATCTCATGTAAGCAAAGCAACTCAAGCAAGCAAAGCATATCCCAAGTAAGCAAAACACCTCAAGTAAGCAAAAGCATGCCAAGTAAGAAAAGCATCTCAAGTACGCTAAGCGTTGCAAGTAATTAAGCAAAGCACCTCAGGTAAGCAAAGTGTCGCAAGCAAGCAAAGCACCTCTAGTGAGTAAAGCATCCCAAGCAGGCAGCATGCAAAGCACCTCAAGGAAGTAAACTGATATCGCAAGTAAGCAATGCATTGCAAGTAAGGAAAGCACCTCAAGTAAGCAAAGTATCGCAAGTAAGCAAAGCACCCCAAGTAAGTAAAGCATCGCAATTAAGCAAAGCATTGCAAGTAAGCAGAGTACCTCAAGTAAGCAAAGCATCTCAAGGAAGCAAAGCACCTCAAGTAAGCAAAGCATTGCAAGTAACCAAAGTATATCAAGTAAGCAAAGCACCTCAAGGAGGCAAAGAATCCCAAGTAAGCAAAGCATCTCAAGGAGGCATAGAATCCCAAGTAAGCAAAGCATTGCAAGTAAGCAAAGCACCTCAAGTAAGCAAAGTATCGCAAGCAAGCAAAGCATCCCAAGTATAGCTCGTGTAAGCAGAGTACCCAGGCAGTTTGTACGGACAACTATATGATGGCTTGACATGAAGTACTTACCCGGATCACTACAGAAGAAAAAAAAAACACCCTTTCATCGCCATGTTGAAAATTGCGCGTAAACTGGGAACGGACGGAAGTTTGTACATGCGCATCGAGGACAATCGATGGTCGTTCGGCGTCGGAAAGAGAATTTCATTTTTTTGTTTCAAAGTGTTTTAGCTTCGAATTTTAGACAGATTTTGCCTTGATTTCGTTCATAGATACAGGAGTTTTAACTCCTGATATTGCGGCTTGAATAACGTCAAAATTGGACTCAATTTCTGCTGTGTTTCGTCTCTTATTCGCTGTTTAGCGAACATGGCGTCAAATTCTCCAGGTAAGACAGGTAGCCCAAGCTCGAAATATGAGCATCGGCGAGCGTCGGCATTGTTGCGTAACATTCAAAATATAAGGATTTGTATGGGAAAAAAACCTATCGTTTCTGTAACCTGCGAAAATGAAAGGATTTCAATAAAAAACAGCTTACCTTACTTAAAATGTGTGTTGCGTCTCTCCTGTGTGGTCCACGGGCCGATTTATGGCCGTTTTGTGGGTTTTTATGTAAACGGTTTTCTCTCTATATAAAGGTTTACCAAGGTCGGGCACTCCAGCGAAGCGGCTCGACTGATCCACCGAAGGAAAACGGCCGTAAATTCGCTCCAATTGCTCCAATCGCCTCCAAATTCCGCCTAACGGGAGCAAGAGACTCTCTCCCACCCCGAGTGTGAGTAATTTGAGTCTCAGGCCGTGTCGCTATCTTTCAACCGTAACGCGGAGGTCAAGCCGAGGTCAGACGGGAAAGGTTGCAGAGATTTGCGACCTTTGATTCGCTCTCGGTGCAAAGGCATCTTAAAGCAAGATAACGAATGGAAAGGATAACTATCGTGTGTTACCTAGGCGGAATTTGGAGGCGCTTAGAGCAGTTGGAGCGAAATTACGGCCGTTTTCCTTCGGTGGATCAGTCGAGCCGCTTCGCTGGAGTGCCCAACCTTGATAAACCTTTATATCAGTTGTTTATATAGAGAGAAAACCGTTTACACAAAAACCCACAAAACGGCCATAAATCGGCCTGTGGACCACACAGGAGAGACGTAACACACATTTTAAGTAAGGTAAGCTGTTTTTTATTGAAATCCTGTCATTTTCGTAGGTTACAGAAACGATTGTTTTTGTTTCCCATACAAATCCTTATATTTTGAATGTTACGCAACAATGCTGAGGCTCGCCGATGCTCATATTTCGAGCTTGGGCTACCTGTGCAGGTAAGAAAAAATATTTTAGCTTGGCTCTTTCTGTGAAAATAAAATTAAGGGCTTCCAGACTTTCCTTAGACCCTGTTGATATAAGAGAATTCGACACATTCACTTTGCTCTTTGATGTTAATCCGTAAAAAGTTATGTCATGTAGTTAAGCTTAAGATCTTGTTTTTGAAAAGATGGCTCTGGGGATAACTGAAACATTGTTGCATTGTTTAGGTAACTTTGATAAGCATGTAATCGATCATGAAATGGTAACTTTTCGCTATTGTCTTTTATTCTAGGTGGTAGACTTTCGAGAGAGAAGCTCAAGCTAGATTTTCAGGGAGGATTAGGACGCAAAAAATTGAACCTTGCAGCGTTGAAAACCAAGCAACCAACACCACGTCAATCAAATATGTAGGTTGATAGAAAGGCCATAGATAAAGTGGGTCAAAGTGATAACTTGATTTTTATACTTAATGTTTTCTATTGTTCCTTACAGTTCTCCATTTAAGGTTGTTAGAGTGTGTGATTACGCCATATTCACACCATCCGGTACATTTCCCTAAGAATACTATGATTTTATTATATAGACACGAGTGTTTTACTGGAAATTATACCACACGTAAAATTCATAAAAACTACATCCGGGACCCGAGTGGTTTATTTTCCATAATCTCACACGTGAGTTTATCGATGACATAATTTCGGTAATTTCCCTTCGAAATTTGTAGGCGTCTTGCGTCTTTTGAATTTTGCTTGCACATTTTTCAAAGCGTTGCTTATATTTTGTCATTGTAGAGCCCTGTTCAGCTCAGTGTTATTTCTCAAGACAGTAACCAATGTCATATTGCTGTACTGTAAATTTGAGCCGTCGCAGTTACTTTTTGGCGTATAAAAATCTATTATTTTGTCGATGTCTTTTTGTCTATATAATAAAAAGAACATTACACGGCGGCTTGAAGATATGAATTTTATTTTCTCGTGGCAAAAACAATATTTTACTCACTCGCTGCGCTCGTTCGTGAAATACTGTTTTGCCACTCGAAAATAAAATTCATATCTTCGCGCCACCGTGTAATATCCTCTATATACATCGCATGTATTTCCTTATTGAAACAGTGGCAAATGAGACCATGTTAATGTAAATTCTGGCAGCTGTTATGGCCTTGAAACAGTGACCTTAAGACAGGTGAAATGGTAACAAACAAGACAGCAACAAAGACAAGCACAAATACAAAACAAATACATGTGTTGGCATAAATTTGACTTACTGATTCAATTTTCAATTAACAAATTCCTCATTTTCTGAGTGAGGGCCCGAGTAGATGACAAATAGCCTGACAGCATTTGCTCATTTAATAGTCTTTCAAACTAATCACGCAGCCAGGTCAACCACATGCTGGTAGACCAGATAGACCACCAAACTGGGGATTACGTCCCAAACTCTTTACAATTTAACGGTGGGTTGGTTGTTTAACATCGCACAGATTTTAAAAGTGTATTTTGAAGCAAGGTACATTTGCAAAGTGGCTAATAATGAATAGAGAAGAAGTTGGTGATAATCTACTCCTTTTGCAATTTTTCAGGGAAAGATTAAGAACCCATAAAGCAGTAGGAAAACTGTCTTTTGGTCCTGACAAGGTAAAAGATTATAATTATTGTATTTTGTTTTCATATTTTTTGTACATATTGTACTAATGACTTACGCAAAACTATATGTGCATGTATGTAACATTGATACTTGATAAAATGTCCTTCAAAAATTAATGGTAGTTGTTTTACATTATTTTAAATGCTGTATTACAATATTGTGGTTATTATGATAATTATTTTATCTTTCAAGTTCAAGCTAAGTTTACATTATATACACCTTTTGCTGTTCATTACGAGGAAATACGCATTCATTTGCGCAAAACGGCGATCAACAGCGCGAAGATACATTCATTAGTACGTTGGCCCGTAAGTGACATTCTAAGCAAAGTAAAAAAAGTGCATTAAAACAAAGATTTTTGTTTTGGATCCAAAGTTTTTATCCAGCCAACATGGATTTCATTATTCGGCAATGCTGTTTTATTACTCTGGATCTAAAGTTATTACTCTGGATCCAAAATTCTTACTGAAGGATCCAAAGTTATTATTCTAGGTCCAAAGTTCTTACTCTGAATCCAAAGTTTTTACTCTGGATCTAAAGTTTTTACTCTGGATCCAAAGTTATTATTCCGGATCCAAAGTTGTTACTCTGGATCCAACGTTTTTACTCTTGATTCGAAGTTATTATTTCGGATCCAAAGTTGTTACTACGGATCCAAAGTAATTATTCCGGATCCAAAGTTATTACTCCGGATCCAAAGTTTTTTCTCTGGATCCAAAGATATTATTCCGGATAACATAACATAAACATAACATAATCTTTATTTAACGTGGGAGAAACACTTAGCTAAAGCTATTTTGCAGGTTTTCCACAAATCAATATTAAGAAAGAAAGAAAGAAATATGTACATAGAAATGTAAAAATATAAAATATCTAGCATCTAAAATTACAAAATTAGATAACTAAAATTGAATGTTCCTCACTTGTTTGTTAAATTCTAGACCTCCAGCTCTTAAACGCAGTTCATTTGGAATACTGTTCCATTGTTTTGCGGCGAAATATCTGAAGGAGTTTAATCCATACTTTGTAGTATTTACTTTTGGCAGTGATAGCGTATTATTGCCCCTTAAATCGTACTTGTTGTTTCTCATTTTAACGAGTTCCTTAATGCATGTGGGGGCGGTGCCTTGAAAACAGGCGATCCAAAGTTCTTACTCTGGATCCAAGGTTTTTACGTCATATTCAAAGATCCAATCTAATTTGATATTCCGAAACTGAAGTTTGAACACTTGACATCCAGTTCACCACATGGCAGCGGCTCAAGGTGAAGAAGTCAAGGAGGTAACTTTTCCTTCCTTTTCAATTTGGTCCCTTAATTAATTTGATAGACATCTTAACTAGTTACGTTACGTAAGTATTTGAAAGAACGTGCTCAGAACGTGCTTTTCTGATCAGTTCGTAAAACATCAGTTTCCAGATCTGATCAGAACAACACGTTCTGAGTTTTCTCAGCATAGAAGCTGGTCAGTTTCCATAGAAAATGGCTTCCAAATATTTACGCCACTAGTGGTGTCTATCAAATTAATTATATTAAGGCCGGACCAAAAGGAAGGAAAACGCAAACGTTACTTCGTCTACTTCTTCACCTTGAGCCACCGCCATGGATTGGTAGAAAACGAAGACCCCCCTCAAAATCACTTATAAATAGCTACAAACGGGCATCTCGACCTTATTTAGATATGTAAGAAACAACAAGATCTTCATTATCAAAGGGTCTTCTTTTTCTACACAACCCCGCCAAAACGTAAGTTTCCATAGAAAAATTTTTTTTTTCTTCTACACAACCCCGCCAAATATAGAAAACGAAGATCCCCCTCAAAATCACTTGGAAACGGCTCGAAACTGTTTATAACGACTTCTGGATACTAGAGGAGTGTATAAACAAACAACACGATTTTTTTATTACGGATAGTTTGCTTTGTCCCAGGGGAAAGAAAGGTCTTACATCTTCTCCACATTAGGGAGTTTAAGATACGGCGACTACGGACTACGACTACGGTTAAACATGCTACTGCGCATGATCAAAACCATGTGACTGTTCATTTTTCCCGCGTAGTCCTGCGGCTACGGTGAGTTGTTGAGCTGTTTCGCGTAGTCGCGACTACGGAGAACATTTTGCTCGCATTTTGCTAACCTGAGATCAGGCGTTTTTTTTTTCTTTGCTTCTTTGTTTCTTTGGCTCGAGAGGGGAAAAAGATAACGCCCTCTTCCCGTGAGAGACTTCAAGGGATAATAGGGAGAGGGCATGATCTCAGGCTAGAATTTTGCCGTCTCGGTAATTCAAGAACCTCGTCTTTTCGTAAAAAAGTTTTTAATTCACCTGCTTTAAGTGAGAGGGAAGCGAAATATGTAAGTTGTGTCTAATTTCTGCTCAGATTTACGCTTTTAATCCACTGTTGTGACTACATTTTTACTAGCTAAGCTCATATTTAAATAAGTTTAGCTATTTATACGCAGAATTCAGATTGACGGCCGAGGAGAAGAGAAATCATGCAGGTAATTTACTTTCTCTTCGCACTTGAAAAGTTTCAATGTTTGTTCGAACTGATTAGTGTGTCTTTCTACTTGTGTAACCTTTGTTTATGCGAGTTTTTGTATCGCATTTGCTGAATGAAAATGATGTAAACATCTTCGAGACAATCGAAACTCGGCATTTCAATACTTCAAACTACATCAGATCAGTTTTCGGAGAAGTCCATCTTCTAAATCTAATAAATGAGCTATTACTATTTCTGTCCAATTCTTTAATATTTGACATAAGAATTCATGGGCGAAAAAAAATAAAACCTGTGTAACCAAAACTTTGTTTACCAATTTCACCCGACGCAATTGCTTCCTTCAAGTATGAAGGAATTTGTTCATTGTTCTAAAGACAAGATCATAGGCAAAACTGACTTGCATTTTTGTGAACTGTGATGAAAACAAGAAAATCTTTTCGTGTTGTTTCCCTCTCCGCCTCTTCTCTCGTAGTCCACTGTCTGTACTGCAATCTTAACGTTCTATATTTGCACGACTCAACCCAGTGCTACAAACAAAGGACAACGCTCGTCCAGCCGTAGTTCGTAGTCCGAAGTCTCCGTATCTTAAACTCCCTATTGAATCCCCTTACTACGGACACTTTCTATTGTCCCAGCTAAGTGTCCGTATGACTGTACCATGCTAATTGTACCTCAGTAACTGATAATCGTGTTGTTTCTTACACTAAGTTCTCTAGTGTCTAGAAGTGGTTATAAGTAGTTCCGCTCCGTTTCCAAATGATTTTGAGGGGGGTCTTCGTTTTCTTCATTTGGCGAGGTTAAGTAGAAAACGAAGGTCTTCGTTTTCTACCCACCCCGCTGCCATGTTGAATGGTGAACTGGATGTCACGTGTTCATACTCCAGTATCGGGATATTAAATTGGATTCGATCTTAATTTGTCGCCGGAGTAATAACTTTGGATCCGGAGTAATACCTTTGGATCCAGAGTAAAAACTTTGGATCGGGAGTAATAACTTTGGATCCAGAGTAAAAACTTTGGATCCCGAGTAATAACTTTGGATCCAAGGAAAAACTTTGGATCGGGAGTAATAACTTTGGATCCAGAGTAAAAGCTTTGGATCCGGAATAGTAACTTTACATCCGGAGTAATAACTTTGGACCCAGAGTAAAAACTTTGTATCCGGAGTAATAACTTTGGGTCCGGAGTAATAACTTTGGATCCAGAGTGATAACTTTGGATCCAGAGTGATAACTTTGGATCCGGAATAGCAACTTTGGATCCGGAGTTATAAGTTTACATGCGGGGTAATAACTTTCGATCCAGAGTAAAAACTTTGGATTCGGAGTAATAACTTTGGATCCGGAGTAATAACTTTGGATCCAGAGTGATAACTTTGGATCCGGAATAGCAACTTCGGATCCGGAATAGTAACTTTACATCCGGAGTAATAACTTTGGACCCAGAGTAAAAGCTTTCGATCCGGAGTAATAACTTTGGATCCGGAGTAATAACTTTGGATCCGGAGTAATAACTTTGGATCCAGAGTGATAACTTTGGATCCGGAATAGCAACTTTGGATCCGGAGTTATAACTTTACATCCGGAGTAATAACTTTGGACCCAGAGTAAAAACTTTGGATCCGGAGAAATAACTTTGGATTTAGAGTAAAAACTTTGGATCCGGAGTAATAACTTTGGATCCAGAGTTATAACTTTGGATCCAGAATAGTAACTTTGGATCCAGAGTTATAACTTTGGATTTAGAGTAATAACTTTGAATCTGGAGTAATAACTTTGAATCCAGAGTAAAAACTTTGGATCCAGAGTTATAACCTTGGATCCAGAATAGTAACTTTGGATTTAGAGTAATAACTTTGGATCCAGAGTTAAAACTTCGGATCCAGAGTTATAACTTTGGATCCGGAATAGTAACTTTGGATCCGGAATGATTACTTTGAATCCGGAGTAACAACTTTGGGGAAAAGAGCTATGCCGAATAATGAAATTCATGTTGGCTGGATAAAAACTTTGGATCCAAAGCAAAAGTCTTTATTTTAGTGCATTCTTTTACTTTGCTTATAATGCCACTTACGGGCCACCGTACATTAGCGCGAAAAAGCGAACATTTGTGTATAAATCATATCCAATAACGATTTTTGCATTTTAATCAACATTCAATAACATTTTTGGGCATTCATTAGCGTCATTGGGCATACAAAAGATAAAAATATACTTTCATTAACGCCAATATTCGAGTCATTAACATTATCTTGAAAATCATTAGGCAATAATAGAGAAACCTTTAAGTGCAATGCTATTCATTAACATTTTTATGACACTGTTTGCAATTCAACAGCATTCCTGGACAGCTTTAAAATGGATAAGACAAACATAAATGCGCTTGTACAATCAATTGAGCGTTCTTTACATTTAATGTAAAAAAATCTATTTTCAATTAAACAATACCAACCCCCCTCCCAAAATACTGGATAAAACATCCTTCAAAAATTAATGGTGGTTGTTTTACATGAGTTTTAATGCTGTATTACAATCGTGGTTATTGTGATAATTATTTTATCTTTCAAGTTCAAGCTAAGTTTAGTTTCTTTTCTTTTGTTTTTGTGTATACTTGCAGTGTCTGTGTTGTGGCTTACAGTAATTATTTCCTTGTTTTATATTGTATTAATTTTTTTTTATTTTGGCTATATCTTTTAATTAACAATAATGAGGTTTATACAAAGGAAGATAAAATTTAGACCAAGGACAAAATTGAACCATAACATATGCTTGATAAGCACAAAGAAAAGGAAAATAAAATTTGAACCAAGACGAAGTTAATAAGAATCACAATGGTTGTATGATCAAGGAACAAACTCATTACCTTAATACTCATGATTTGTGATTCTTGACTTTCAACTAAACCCTTGTGAATGAACTGGGACAAAATGTTGCACTGTGAATGAGACTGGATGAAAGGACTGAGATGGCCTAGGGTTATTAGATTCAGTGTATGGTGTAGTAAAATGCCAACTGTAACTATATGACTGTAGCACAGACTGGACATCATTGTTCTTTACTTACATGTACTGTGAAAAACTTAAGGAACTGTGTGGACATACAGTAGCCTGAGTTCATTAACTGGGATTGCTACTCCCATGTTTTTTTTCATTATAAATAGAATTATGAGTATTCTTCTGAGGACCTGGCAGACTATGGGGAGATTGGAAGAGGAGCTTATGGCACGGTGAATAAGATGTTACACAAAGAAAGCGATACTTACATGGCAGTGAAGGTAATAATAATAGTGATAATGTAATAATAATAGTTAATAGAGTATGATCGTCCGGGTGAACGTAGTCCTTAATAGGGCTGTTGTTGACAGTGACTGACATTTCGACAACCTATGTGGTATTCATCTTTAGAGTCAAAGTGAGGTGTATCACATCAGTTGGTGGTATTAAACTCTGGTTATTGACCTGGTTAAGTTGCAATCTTATTCATGGTCATCTGTCAGTTAAGCCGTACTTGATCCATGTACATTGTATTGTCATAGTTAAACAGTCGTTTATTGTTAGTCAAATTGTCGGTGGTCCAGTCATTCTGTCATAGTTAGTTTTGCTGAGTCTGTCAATAAGTCATTTGTATGGTGGCGGTAACTGTTTACAGTAACAAAAAAGCTTGTTTGTTGGATACAGCCAAGATATGAAGAAGGATCGTGGAGACTTAAGGATATAGGATATAGCTTAATGATTTGGGCAGACAAGACCACCAATACCATTGGTATGAGACATTAGCACAATAAATTATGATACACACAGTACCTCTTACTTGGATCAGCCTGGTAACTGGTGGTTTGGCCATCACTACATGTATGTAGTTGCACAATGTGTGGTAGTCTTGAAGCAACTTCAGTGAGAGTTTAAACAGATGCCAAGTTCCTCTCGTGACTATTACATCTCTCCACCAAGAATTTTCATTTACCTTTAGTGTGTTAGGATCTTAAAATATAAAACAGATCAACTGGGACGAAAGGACAAAGGACATGTACCCTTAATATATGTTAGTGAGTGGACGGTACCAGTTTACCACTCTTTCAAAGAAATATTCAACACACTGTACCATGTTAATACTCTAGCATGGTTAATATTATGTTATTTTTTCTTGACTTCAGAGAATTCGTTCAACAGTGGATGAGAAGGAACAGAAGCAATTGTTGATGGATCTGGACGTTGTCATGCGCAGCAGTGACTGCAAGTATATCGTCAAGTTTTATGGAGCCTTATTCACTGAGGTGATAACACCGAAAAATATTGTGTTAGTTTGTTTTTTTAAACCAGGCTTTTATTGTTTCTGAAGGGGAAGGGTTGCAGCACAGAAGTTAGCCACTCACTGAAGCCAAGGGGAAATTGATTATCTTAGTTGATCTTGCTTTTCCACCTTTTTGCAGGGCGATGCTTGGATTTGCATGGAACTAATGGACACATCTTTGGACCAGTGTTACCGTCATCTCTATGGTGTCATTCAACAATCTATACCTGAGGATATTTTAGGAATGACTTCTTTAGCAGTAAGTTACACCTCTCACTATTGTAACGTTGCAGGATTGACAGGGACACACTACTGTACTGAGATGTGTGTGTGTGATTTATATTCACACACACCAAAATCCTAGGCAAAGAAAGTGTCCAGCTATTTAGAATGAGAGATGCCATAAATTATTAATACTTTTCTGACAGCCAGATTTTCTACTAAAAATGAAGTTATTGCATCAAAGAACATGCATGACTAGGAGACAGAATGGGAAAAAATTGAGGTTGTTATTTTCTTTCTCTAATGGGGAGGATCACTCTACCATTGCCTCTCAACAAAGTTTTTGTCATCTGTTTTATGTGTTTATTAAATTTGTTCAAAAATCTTGAAGGGGAGATATAATTATACAGTTTTACGCTTTTATTTTTACTCCTTTGACATGACACAACACTATGGCAATAGTGCTAGTGGTGCTATCTTTACTGTGAAAGAGTTCCCCTACATGTATTAGTAAACACATGTTACATTCAGTAAAGCACTGATTTTTTTTTTAATTCTCAGGTTGTTAAAGCTCTGGACTACCTTAAAACCAAATTGAATATTATTCATAGAGGTAAGCTTAAGACCTTGGATTTCCTGCTCTGTAGTTGTCAGGACATCCTGGTAAATACGGTGTACTAGCTGTATTAAAGAAATATTATGTATGTAGCTTACTTGTGTTCTCTCATTGTGTTTAATAATCTGTTCATGTTCAGCGGCATAATTAAAAATGAAAATGTCATTCCAATGAGGCCTTAAACTGCTGATAAGAAATAAAATTGAGATCCAAGCTTTCGCCAATCAACTTCATCATCTTGTGTTTGTTCCTTTAGATGTAAAGCCTTCAAACATTCTCTTAGACCTTCAAGGGCACATTAAGTTATGTGACTTTGGCATCAGTAGCCAACTGGTTGACTCCATTGCAAAAACTAGAGATGCTGGATGTAAACCCTACATGGCGGTATGTAGACGATATTAACCCAGTATGTTGCTCCCACAGTCAAGACTTTGACGTTTCACTTTCTCTCCTCCCCTCCTCTTTTGCTTTTCTTGCACTCTTTGTTTCTTTTGCTATGAATTTACTAGGTTTCATTTGAGTGGGAAAGGTTTTGGGGAAAGCTTTTTGTATTGTAGGATTAGATGGAAGGGTGTGTACATGTACTAATTACATGTATTTAATAATTAGTGATATTAAAATGGAGCAGTCAGAAAGAATGAAAGTAGTGTGCTGAACTGAAATGTATTGGATTTTTAATATTCTTTTTGTAGCCGGAGATAATAGATCCCATGTCATCAAGAAAAGGAAGTTATGATATCAGGTCAGATGTATGGAGTTTTGGTATAACACTGGTAAGTCAAAAGAAAAATCAATACAAGTTACATCTAAAACTTATTTTCCGTAGATTGCTCAGATCTTTAGTAATATCAATTTTCAAGCTAAGTTATAGGAAACCACACATTATTAACAGGAACTGCTTTTGTTGACTTTTTTCCCCATATCAATTCAGTGCACATGGATTCTGTTTCTCATCTAACTAACAGTGATTTTGTAGCGTGGGGCCTGAGCCCGAGTTGGGTCGGACATGCCCAGTTTAGGAGACCTACGACTCGTGTAACTGTTATGCTAGTTAGTCTCGCTTGCTTTAGCAAAGCGAGAGTCTTAAAATGCAGTTCGGTTTTTTTTTTTCGGTGGGACCTAGTTTGTAGGTCCCGCGTTCCTAGCGAAGACCGTGGAAACTGGGGATAAGAATCGTGACGACTTTCATTGTATGGAAATGAGTCTCGTGATGAGCATGTGGTTTATTTTGGGGGATGACTGGAATAACACGCAATGTTTATCTCGTTTAAGTGCTTTTCTTCCATGTAAGAAATCAGACTTTATCTTTTTCGTTAAAACAGGTTACGTTTCATGCTTATATGACATAGTAAGTCGATAAAATCGTAAGTGCAAAACAGACAACAAAAAGTAAAACTGTAAACACGTGCCCTCTCTGATCTTATGGTAATTTGGTTCTGACCTCTGTGACCTTCACGTGCGAAAAAGTAAATACAGCTAAACGTGACAGAAAGAATGGTTTTGTAAACACGTGTTCCGGGTCATGGTAGCGCAGAATCTGGGGATGAAAATCGACACGATGCTCTCAATCTCAGTGAACGCTTCGAAAATCAACGCTCAATTGTCCGAATGTTATGTTTTGAGACGAAAAATTTCGAAAGATTAATTGATTATACGGTGATGTCGCTTACAAATCCACACACCATTCGTGGTAGACCCACACTAAAAGATGTCGAGCGTTTTCGGAATTGTTCGTTCCACGAATTCTGTCGTTTGAAAGCGTTGATAACTTTGAAAGAAGTGAATACATCAGATGTTGAAACACGGAAGAATGTTCATGAGCAGAACTTCGATGATGAGGTAAAAAACAACAAGCAAATCGTCGTTAATTTACCTGTCGTGTTCAACAGCCTGATTCTTTTCCTTTGTTTCATGATGCTGGATACTTAATTGTAACCAACAACTTGATATTTCGTACATCATTAATATTATTGTACATGCGATGATAAATGTCGAGGAAACAAATCTTGGGCCGATTTTCGAATCTTTGAAACTAAAATGAAATTCAATGAAATTGCCTGATTTGACTAACCTGATCAAGAATTCTTATGTATTTGCGAAATACTGTAGGAAAACGGCATAAAAAAGAATTCAAATTCATTTTCGGCGACCGAAATTTACGGCTTCGAGACAGCACTTCCGTTTCCTGTCCACCGCAACAGATGATGACAGAAATGACGTAGTAAGCCGGGGGGGGTACTTTAGGAATTTCTGGGTGGGGATGTGCCGCTGGGACCCTGGAACCCTTAACCTATACCAGAGCTAGTTCAGCTGAATTTTGCTACCCTATACTGGAGTAAACTCCCCAAATCCCCCTATCCTAGAGTAGCTGTTTCCCTTGTCTAGATAAAATCTTCAACCAACTGATCAGTTTCCTGAAAAATGATACCCTATTCTAGACCCAAACGCTCTGATTTATATACCCTATCCTAGAGTAAACTGCCTGAAAACCATACCCTTCACAGCGGCACATACCTATATAGCCCATATATGACAGTACCCCCCACCCCCCCGGGGTAGTAAGGTAAAAGTGTTCAAGATCAGAGCAATAAAAGGAGATGATAAACCTACACGACTTTTACCTCATGTCAAAATGCTGCTCGTTCCAATAAAGTTTTTTTCGTCTGCTGGGTAGATTATGCTCTGGAAGGTTCTACATTTTCACTGAGTAAATGTTATTTTACCCGCATGTTTCACACTGAGAGATCATGACACATATCGATTTACTGTGGCTATTAGCGGGGAAGAGCGTTGCGTGACGACATTAAAAACGACTGTGTAGCAGACTATTTTGAAGCATGATGGTGAAGCTTTTTATTACGGCTGAATAAGGGTTCCAATTTTGTCCAAAGTATCTTCTGGATCTGAATAACTAAGCGATTTTCTTTAGTCCATGAATGTAATGTTTTTGTGCAACGCTGTATCACGTTAAGCCCAACTCATTAGTTTTGTTTGGAAAATCTTAAATTATTACGGGTAGTGATTTACAAGTCGTGCGTACTGTTGCAATAAAACGTAATACTGAGTAGAGCGGAGGTACAAGGCAACTGTAATATCATCACGACTGAGCCATTCTTCGGTGGTTCCAACAATGTTACCTCTTGCGTCTTTGGCTGTTCGTTTTGCGACTGGGTAGTGGGACGCCTTTACACAAGCGAAACCTGCTTAAAGACACCGAAGACTGTTGGCATGTACACAACAAATGTTCAGTCTTGAAAGATCTTCACTTCACTTAAAACTCTGTTGCCTTCGCATAGATCTCTAAGATCTTTAAAACTCCCTCCGCAGCTGATGTTTTGATTCTCGAATTAGCAGCGGTCTGTTGCTTTTGCGTTTCCGGTCTCATTCACTTCCGTCACCGAGAGATGCGGTTCACAACGAACTAAGTCGCGTGGTACAAGTATCCTCCCTTATCCTTTTTTTTACTAGCCACTTCGCGCTTCGGTCGCCCTTCGGGCGACGGTCTTCCGTCACCCTTCGGACGACTAGCTGTGCACCAACGAGAATATAGCTTGCGGTTATTGATTTTCAAAATGGCGAACAACAAAGTCGATCTGGATCAGGTATAGCCTGCGCGCAGACGAAATTAAACTCTGGTTAACTCCGTCTGCGAAACAGCGCCGAAATCCTTGTTCTGGACTTCCAGCTGTGTACCCAGATTTGAGTACGCGCCACGATTGGCCAGTTAAAAAAGGCCTTTGTTTTGTTTGTCGTGATCGCCAATCAGGTTGAAGGGGAATTCGAAACGCACTTCCGGTAATTCGTTGAATCCGTTGGGGGTCCAGAACAAGGATCTCTGCGCTGCTTCGCAGACGGTACTAATCAGAGTTTAGTTATCGTCTGCACGCAGGCTAGATCAGGTAAAAAGCAAAGAAATCCTTTATAGTAGATTCATAAAGATCCCATTGGGCTAATTAATCATGCTAAGCGACAGGTATAAACATTTTTCGAGGTGAGACTTTAAATAATTAATTTGTTTATTCAAACGCAACTCCTCTGGACCCTGTGCAGTAGATTGAAATCATAATTCAACTTTTTCACTTGCTGTCGGTGACTCTGAGGAATTATGACGAACCCCTGGGGAGGACGACTCTGCATACGAAAGGCAAGGGGATGCTCGTCGGAAATTTTGAATTAAACCCCTACAAGAGATCGATCCGGGCGTAGCCCAAGCTTTTTTGACCCCTGAGAGACTGTTACTGAAAACTCAGACAATACACGTATTTTTATGTTTTTTCACATGTAACCCTAAACAAGACCTTCACGGCTAAATATAATACCGTTTTGCCCAGAACACCGTAAGTGAGACCAAAATCCGAAATTTACACCCCGGCCTAAGCAAGACGACGAGCATCCCAAGCCCTTTTATATGCGGAGCGCCCAACCCCCACCACACCCGAGTGACGAACGCTCGCGCTCTATTCGCCTCCTCACTTCGTATCTTATTTACAAACAAGCGAGACTCAACGCTACTTAGAGCGTTCTTGTTTAGTAAAGTGATTCGAACGCTAGCTGTGTTAGTTTTGTTACATTTGGTGGCAGCGGTGGGATTTTTGCCATGGAAGATACTGTGAAAGCTTTAGAAGAGAAAGTAGCGCTCCTCGAGGCGAAACTTGGAAAGAAAAGTGAAAGTAAGGCTGGTGCAAGCGGTAGTTCACCGACCACGTCGCCAGAAAACCCGCTTCGCATCAAACCGGAGAGCTTCTCTGCGACGTCCAGCGAAAGTTGGGTGGTTTGGATACGGAAATTTAAAGGCCTTGCCGAACAGACCTATTACAGCCTGACTGCCGAACAAACAGCCACGTGGACAGCCGTTGAACGCGCTCTGACAGATCGATTTCATCCTAAGGAATCTCGTCAGGTACACATTTCCGTTCTACGAGCCAAATTAAGACGTCCTGACGAAGATCTACATCAACTGAGGTGCGACATTTCTCGTCTTGTGGAGCTGGCCTATCCGGATGACCCCCCGGATATACTCAATCGCACGGCCAGAGATTTCTTCGTGGGCGCTTTGACCCCTATTATATTGCGAGAGAAGGTGTTGGATTTGGGGCCCAATACTTTGGATGAGGCCTTAGCGGCAGCTCAGCGATATGAATCAAATCAAAAAGTGCTAAACAAGGGAAGTGCTCGAGTACTGTCTTCAACATCTGGGGAGCAGGAAAAGTTTGGCCCCCAACAGGGCACCCAAGAACCCCCAGCGTGGGCTAAGGAGCTTTTCCAGCAGCAAGCTGAAATCTTAGAGAAGCTAAAGAATATTCCTCAAGGGAGGCAAGGTAGGAATGAAGGTGTAGAACCTGGACAAGGCCCCAGAGCGTGTTTTAAGTGCGGTAGCCTGTGTCATTTTATTCGTGAATGTCCACATCAAGTCCGTGCCGACCAGGGAAACGGGAGATGGGCGGGGCGCAGCCGAAAGTGACCCCGCCCGAGAATCTAAAGGGAGCATTTTTGCCTTGTGATGTCAATGGCGTTAAGTCCTAAGCCTTATTATACACAGGTGCAGAAGCAACAATTATCAGTGAAGACCTATACAGTCGCTCTAAGACACATAAACAAACTTGAGCCTTCACTGAAGCCTGTCCTGGGGGCCAACAATATGCCACTTGATGTGGTTGAAGAAACAGAAGTAACAATTCAGCTGGGCGCAATCAGGGCTAAGCATAAAGTGCTGGTGTGCCGAGGCTTGGCACAGCAAGTGTTGATTGGTATAGATTTTCTAACAGCTCACAAATGTATCATTAACTTTGACACTAACACTGTCTACAGTAAGGAGGGACCCAACAGAATGGTTTTTGGATGCCTTGATAGAGTTTACAGGATCACTGTGGCCGAAACCGTCACATTATCTCCAAATATGGTCGCAGACATACCTTGTGAGGTCCAAGGGGTAGATGACTTAGACGAATGTATGGGTGTACTGGAACCAGCGGACAAGTTTTCAGAAAGATATTCAGCTGGGGCCTTTCGGACGGCCGTGACTGTGAAAGGAGGTCGAATCCCAGTTCGTGTGTTCAATTACCTTAACAAGCCCCTCAAGATTTACAGGTGTAGCAGTATGGGGGACCTCTACCCATTAGCTGGCGAGGAGGAATCACAGGAGGAAACCAATGTGGGTGTGGGCTACAAGGTGGTACCCCCTGCGGCTTCAAAGGAAGATGTTGAGGTTGGATTGGAAGCTAAACAATGTGGTGCGGTTTTTGTGAGGGACGCTGACATTCACAGTTTATTGGTAGAAGAGATGTTCCCGATCAGCAGCGATTTGGTCGCGGAAGAGGAAAAACTTACGCATTATGAGGTGTTGTCCACTTACGCTGACTGCCTTTCAAAGGGGCCGTGGGATTTAGGTACTGCAAAGGGTGTACAACATACCATCGACACAGGCTCTTCCAAGCCAATCCAGGTACCGCCACGAAGAGTTCCCTTTCACAAAAGGCAAGAAATGCGCAACCAAGTGGATGAAATGCTCGAAGCAGAGATTATAGAACCGTCCGATTCCCCTTGGTCCTCTCCGGTGGTTTTAGTGGCGAAACCTGATGGCAGTCAACGTTTCTGTGTGGACTACCGCGCTCTTAACTCGGTAACCAAGCGAGACTTGTACCCGCTTCCTCGGTGTGATGACATATTGGAGAGTTTATCGGGGGCACAGTGGTTTTCTCATCTCGACCTCCTTAGGGGATATTGGCAAATTGATGTGGCAGAGGAAGATCGGGAAAAGACAGCGTTCGCAACTCCGGATTGTCTTTACCAATTCCGTAAACTACGTTTTGGCCTTACGAATGTACCTGCATGTTTTATGAGGGCTATGCACCTTATCTTGAAGGGTTTATGCTGGTCAGACTGTCCAGTGTATCTAGATGATATCATTGTTTTTGGTCGAACACTACAGGAGAATAGGGAGAGACTGTCACTTGTGTTGTCACGCTTGACAGAAGCAGGCTTGAAGATTAACCCCAAGAAATGCAAGCTTTTGTGTGAACAGGTGGTTGTGTTAGGTGACGTCGTGTCACGGGAGGGCATATCTACTGATCCAGAGAAAATAAGAGTCATAAAGGAGTGGCCGGAGCCAGTTGACGAGAGTCAGCTGAGAGCGTTCTTGCGGACGGCTGGTTACTATAGACAATTTGTGCCAAACTACGCCCAAATTGCATCCCCTTTGCACCGCGCTTGTCAAAAGGGGGACCGTTTCAGATGGACAGCTGAGTGCGAGGAAGCTTTCCAGGACATCAAGCACAGATTGTCGAGTGCTCCCATCCTGGCTTTTCCCCAGCTAGACGTAGCGTTCATCCTGGACAGTGATGCCAGTGACAGTGGGCTGGGGGCGGTGTTGTCGCAGGTTCAATGTGGGAAAGAACGTGTAATAGCATACGCAGGGCGTGCTCTATCAAGGGCTGAAAGGAACTGTAGTACCACCCGGAAGGAACTGTTGGCCCTCGTGTGGGGAACGGAGCACTTCGAGACATTCCTTTACGGGCGACGTTTTCTGGTCAGGACTGACCATAGTGCTCTGCAGTGGCTACGGAACTTTAAAAACCCTAGAGGCCAGGTGGCTAGGTGGCTTGAAAGGCTTAGTGACTTTGATTTCGAGGTGGAACATCGTCCGGGTCAGTTGCACGGCAATGCGGATGGAGTGTCCCGCCTTCCCTGGGACGAGGGTGCATCGGTTAAGGTAGAGAGGGACGCCACCCTGATTCAGTCTGTGAATATGGAACCCTGGTCGAGAGAAAGTATACGTGCAGCCCAAAACCAAGATCCTGTTCTGTCGCAAGTTGTGAGGTGGCTTGAAACTGGTGTCAGACCCGCTAGAGGCGATGTGGAAGGAGGGGGGCGCAAACTTTTGTCATACTGGTCACAATGGGGAAGGCTGTTTCTCAGGGACGGTCTGGTGTTTAGACGTTGGGAACACGAAGTGACAGGCGAAGAGATTTATCATCAAATCTGCTTGCCCGAGAGCGTCGTGTCACAAGTGTTGTGCGCCTTGCACAACAATCCTTCAGCAGGCCACCTTGGCGTCTCGAAGACTCTAGAAAAAGTGCGGAGGAGATTTTATTGGCATGGCATGCGGGAAGATGTCGAAATGCACGTGAGAAGGTGTGTCCCATGTGCTGAAGTCAACGACCCTTGCAAGCTTCCAAAGGCACCCCTTATAAACATTAAGGCAGGGCACCCCCTACAAAGGGTTGCAATAGACATCGTAGGTCCCACACCAAGATCTACCTCTGGCCATGAGTGGTTGCTGGTGGTCTCCGATCATTTTACTAAGTTTGCTCAAGCCTTCCCAGTGAGAAACACCTCAGCAGTCACACTGGCGAAGAAGGTGATGGATGAATACATATGCCGTTTCGGGTGTTTCGAGGGTTTGCATTCTGATCAGGGAGCCAATGTGGATGGAGCTGTATTCAAAGGTCTGTGCGATTTAATTGACGCAGCGAAAACAAGGACAACGCCTTACCATCCCCAAGGGGATGGGCAGGTAGAGAGACTGAACAAATCTCTGGTGAAGATCCTTAGTAAGCTGATTTCTGACCATCGCCGGGACTGGGCGGACTTTGTGCCGAAAGCAGTTCTTGCTTACAACACTAGTGTGCATGAGTCGACGGGATTTACCCCTTACCGCTTAATGTTCGGCAGGGAAGCTGTTCTGCCATTGGATGCTCTCCTTAGGCTCGAGACAACACCTTCCCAAGGGTCGGCACGGACATACCCCGATTATGTTGTTGAGCAGAAGCAGCAATTGGAAGAGAAGGAGCAGATAGTGAGAGAGAACCTCAAGCGAGCGCAGAGGTCCCAGAAAGCTTATTATGACACCAAGTGCCATGGTCAGCGGTTCCGTGTAGGAGACCGGGTTTGGTATAGAAACCGAACCAGGACGAGAAGGAAGAAATTCCTCAAACCCTGGTGTGGTCCTTGGAAGGTGGTGAAAGCTCTATCTGATGTTACCTATCGCATTGAAGAGGAGAGGCGGAAGCCGGGAAAACGTCGTCAGAGGAAGGTGGTCCACTTCAATTATCTGAAGCCATGCTTTTCGCCACCTGAAATCCACGAGAAGCCCTCACAGTTAACCTCTTCCAGCCATGCGAAGATACGCCACAAGCGGAGAACCTGAGGGACGGGCAGCAACCGTCTTGAGGAACCTTAGTTGACTCTGGAGATGTCGAATTGGAATGGCTGGAAAATCCAGTTGCTACAGTCACAGAGGTTTCTCATCCCTTCCAGGAGCGTGAATCTAGTGGTGAATCTAGTGGTACATTAAGTACATCCTCTCGAACTGCTGACCTGCCGTGTCAATCTGAGGTTTCTCAAGTGAGTGATGAACCGCGTCGTGAACCGTGTCATGCTGCGAGGCCGAGACGTGAGCGAAGGGAGCCTGTCTGGCTACGAGACTATGTTAGAACAGTTGTTGTTTACCCAACCTGGCCCTTGAACTTTGTAGGAACATTTGCATGCCTAAGTTAAAAATTCTCTCTTGTACTTCGGACCTTATGTGGGAGGGGGTAGTGTAGCGTGGGGCCTGAGCCCGAGTTGGGTCGGACATACGCAGTTTAGGAGACCTACGACTCGTGTAACTGTTATGCTAGTTTAGTAAAGTGATTCGAACGCTAGCTGTGTTAGTTTTGTTACAATTTGATTATTTTGCAGATTGAAGTTGCCACAGGAAAATTTCCCTATCCCAAGTGGAAGAGTGTTTTTGACCAGCTCACCCAAGTTGTGAAAGGACACCCACCTCGCCTGACAAATGAGGATGGAAGAAATTTCTCAGATGAAATGCTTTCATTTACCAACATGTGGTAATTGTTTTTAGTAAAATTCCCTGAAAAACAATTAAAGCTCCTTTGTTCTTTATGTCTTTAGTGAGATAAACTTTAGTTACATGTATTTGTCTTAGTTCACAAGTCTTAAAAGCATGGTCTTTCGCTTAAAAGCATAATTGAAGCATAGTCTAGATTTGCCATTCAGATGAGTTATCAGCAGGGTTGACTCAACTGGGCTTTTGTTCAATTACTGCTTTTAAGAGGGGGGCTTTCAAATAGTATTCGACTACTTCACTTTAAACAACAATCCCAGCTATCTTACGGTATCAAGGCGTATTCCCAACCGTTGCACGAAAAGCTCCTCATTTTTGCTTCCTTAATTTCTCCTTCAAATTCACGAACCATTGTTTCATCACAGTATCTGGTAAACACTGCAACATTTGCCAAAAATACTCCACTTCGCATCGTTTTTTGTAGCTCTCTCAATGTCTGATATTCAGTGAAACACTCTGTCTCGTGTTTGATTTATCACTTACCATTGTCTGGTTATCATATCAAACACTCCTTTTTGTGTTTTGAGTCTAGCAAAAACATTCTCCTTTTGACATTCCCTAAGGGGCTGTTTACATGGAGGGAGGACGATCCTAGAAGGCGGAACAACTTTTCATTGAGTTTATGTGCAGACATTTTTGTCCGTGTGGTTGCCAAGTAGAGAAGGAATTAAAGATGGCGGGTGTCAAAAGCAAAAAATAATAGGAAGATCCTAGTACTAGGGACAAGTACAACCCTTTGCGTGTAAACTGAATACCGAAAATATATGGCACTAGAATGATCCACCTTTTTAGGCTGAAATGTCATCCATCTCTTTGCCCCACCCTCCAAGAGACTCTCTCTTGCCTTGCCACCTGATAGGGGGGAGGGGGGTACGGGAAAGAAATGGATGACATTTCAGACTACTGCCCTCCAGGATCTTCCTGGTGCTAGGGTCTCCCCCCTTCCACATGAACAGCCCCTTACTCTGATTACCTTGCATTAATTTCAGAATTCTTTTTTAACTAGTTTGACAAAAGATGTTACAAGAAGACCCAAGTACCGTGAGTTACTCAAGCATCCTTTTATCCTGAGGTATAAGGAAAAACAAGTCGATGTTGGATCCTGGCTCAGCGGAGTTCTGGCGCAGGCGCCATTGCCAAAGTTTGATCAATTAGAGATATGACGTCTTTATACCGAACTATTTTTGCACAGATTTAATGATGTAAATACATAAATGCCTTATTTGAGCACATTGTAAAAGTCACTTAGCAGCTAAAAGTGGTGGTAAATAATTTTGATATATTTTTTTGGCTTCAGGAGGCAGTTACATTGTGTATTGATTCGTTTTCACCATGTGATGCCAGATCAATGTAGGTTTCTGGCAAACTGACCACCTTTCCCTCCCCTGAGCCAACATTTTGCCCTAAGCAAGAGGTAAGTGTTAATGTTGGCTTAGGAGAAGGGTGGGTGGGCAGTTTCTAAGAAACCTAAATTGACCCGCATGCGCACAGGAGGCCGCCTTGGCTTTACGGGTGATTATAATACCATACTGACACAATGTGACGTATGGAATTTACTTCGCACTACTTACCTGTATATCTGCAGCGTTGGAAGTGTATTGTTGCTAAAACTGCTCCATAAGTCGCTTGCTGAAATGTTCATTTGGTTTTTCTTTAACGTCACGATTTTTAAACTAGCTAGGTAAGTTGTTCTGCTCACACTGTTTGAAATGTATCTCAGTGTCAACTTGGAAAAATATTGGAAGTGAAAGAATATAGCCCGCTAGCAAGCTCTCCAGGGCTAGAAAGAACCTTTTTTGCTAAGGAACAGAAACTAATAAAGAAAGGAATTTCTGTGATGTAAGTATGCCAGTGGTTCTGTAGACTATAAGTTGTTTTTTATATACTTTGCCGCCTGTCAATTTATTGTAGCGTTAAATAAATATTCCTTTAGTATTTTACCTGGAATTTTCCCTTTTACAGTTTCTCTGGTGATTTAGCTATTTTAATTCTCAAGGAATCTGTAGTCAGTCTTGCCCTTTAAGTTTTATACAGATAAAATAATGTGACATGTCCTAAAGAGTATATTTTTGATTTTTCGTGAAGAATATTCTGTACCGAGTGTGGTAAATTACTGCATTTGTATGTACAGTGTAATCCCATTTGTACTCTGTAATATTAGAAATCGTAGTGTTTAACTAAAAGAAGTTCGAATATAACAATCAAGGAGCAAACAGGCGTAAAATTACTATTGATAGTAATCTATTTGGACAAACTGAGGACGGTAAATTTTCTCCGTCGAATATTGCACAAAAATTGTGGCGATCACTCTATGAAGACATGTTTTAATTAATTTCTACATTTGGGAATCAAAACGCTAAGCATGAAAAGGAAGGCGTTCTCAAAGTTAGCTTGATCTGGTTATTTGTGTGTATTCACTCTTTCGTAAAAGTGCTTGTTGGCCCTCATGCGCTTCCTGCAGCTTCAGAAACTCTTTTTCCATCTCATTTTTCTGTTGAAATACAAAATCTGGTTAGAAATGTCATTCAATTTCAAATCCAAAGATATGAGGCTAAATTTTCTGCTCGAATCGGGTGAAAATATAAAATGTTGCAATTTCCTAAGTCTGAAGTATCAGACGTGTCGTCGCCCAAACCACCCTGGGAGCAGCTACTCCGTGATATTCAGCCCCATACTAAAATTTTCTTAACCGCAGTCACAGCCAAGTAACCAGTTCAATGTTTCGACGATTTTGCAGTCACAAATACACCTTACCCATCTCGAGGCTTGGGTAGACAAAATACAGAGATTTGTAAAAAATTGTCCATCCAAGCCTCACTGGACCTCGCTTCATTGTGTGTGCACATTGCAATGGAATGAGGGAAAGGTCACTAAATCGCGACTGTTTTATTTTGCGTTATTCAATGCGAGCTCAGGCGCGTTAAAAATTGCGTTTGACAACTGCGACAAAAACTGCTTGTCTGACTAACCTCTTAAAAGTCGAATCTCCCTTAGCAAGAAAAAGAAACAAAAATTCGCGCGGAAATTGCGCCTTACACATAACTTTTTTAAGGAAGAATTCAGATAAGAAGAAAACAAAATGATAACTACATCACCCCACAAGATAAAAATGCATAAAAATAATCTAAAAAAACCCTTCCGGCGGCGATGGCAATGCTTTGTGTTGTGCGTGCACAGTTACCATGATGAGGTCATTTTGAAGATGCTGAAGCCTTGTTTGCAAATCCTGTTTCTTCGAGGATTCATCTGCGAGTTTCTTTTTCAGCAGAACTTTTCATGGAAGGAAAAATACATTTCATTATCTTACAAACATCATACCTGGGTCTCCTTTAATGTCCCAAGCGCTTTCATTTGCTCTTTATTTAACGTGTTAAAATAGAAATCCTAGAAGGGGAAAAAGTACTTTCTACTATTATAAAGAATTCGGCCCTGACTAACAGAGCCATCTTAAGAAACATTAGCACAGACAAAAATGTATTCTCAACTGTTCACAGTCCCCTATTTTTCTGTAAGATCGTCAAGATCGAGCACTTGCTGTAATTTGCGGCCATCTTGTTATCATATGTACCGAGGGGGCAAGTTTCGGGGCCCCGTCGGGGCTCCCTAGGTAGGTTACACTTACAACTGAAACCAACACCGCCACCTGTTACGGAAAGCGCCCGACCTCAAAGATCTTGCCAATCTAACGGGAATGAAAGGAAGTATGAAAAGTCTACTACCACTCCAGCATGTTTCCAGTTACAAAGCCGACGTCTCAAATAAAAGAAGTTTCAAGGAAAGTAGAACTTGCCGAATTTCTGCACCAACTCAGTACGAGTTACATTACCCAAGTCTTTTGAACTGACCATCAACCTGGAGATCTCGTCATGCTGACCCAGTTCCCTTCGGAGCCTGCTGTTGGCTTCCTATGTAGTAGAAGAGAATGGTTGCGCAATATTTAAGCGCGTTTATTAAATAAGCGTCTGATTTAACTTTACACGAAAAGATAGAAACGACGAAAGTAAAGAAAGGAAAAAGGAAAAAAAAAACAGGAAAAATATCAAGATCTTGCGGGGTGAAGTAGTACCAGTCGCATGGGAGTGACATCGAAAACTATTAGCGGATCATATTGGGGCCAAAACCATGGATCCGCACGCGAGCCTCAACCGCGAGTTGGTTGAGCGTATTTTAAATTAACGCCTAACCCCAGTCACCTTCTCCATTTTACCCACGCTTAGCGTCAGACCACTCGTTTAAGAATCGCACGAACTCGTACGACCAACGTTACAAAGACCGACTACACTCATCCGCGGCTCACAATAATTATTATGGACACGCTCGGGATCGCAAGCTAGACTCCGATGTAACTATAGGGTGCGAGAAGAATTTTCCCAAAAGCATGTGCATTAGAGAAGTAACGTGTGTTTACAATGAACTAAACCAGTCAAAACACAGGATAAAACAAGATAAAACATATTTTGTTAGCCTGAGAAACTGAAACAGCCGGCATTTCGAGACGCCACAATTGGTTTCCCCACGAAGTGACGTCTGAGAAACGAGCGCAGAAATTCCATGATGACGCGTCACTACCCAGATCTGGTAGGCTTCTGGTTGGTTGAAACAAATTTCCTACGCGGCACGGCCAATCAAAACCCAGATTTGGGTAGTGACGCGTCATCAGTATGGAATCTCTGCGCTCGATTCTCAGACGTCATTTCGCGAGGAAACCAGTGGTGGCGTCGCCAAATGTCGGCTGTTTTCTCAAGCTAATATTTTGTAAGTGTTGAAAGATGGAGCTCAGTGTCCGTTACTACGAAATTTTTGAACTTTACATTCCGGTACCGAACCGATTGGACTAACCGGGTGGTGCTTCTGAATTCTTCCTTAAAAAAGTTGTGTAAGGCGCAAATATTTCCGCGCGAATTTTTGTTTCTTTTTCTAGTGAATGCTAAATTATTTATGAATCAAAGCTTCACGAGCACTTCAGGATAAATAACACAGGACTATCATACAATTAATGCCGAGTAGTTTTGCACACGATCACCTTATTATGATAGCTGCAGTAAGCCAAGTCCATATCCTCCAGTTGAGTCTGCAGTTTAAGGCCAGCGGAGTTGCAATGACAGCAGTTATCTTTGGAGATGTGTTCTAAGGTAGGACGACAACACCCGCAGCACCTGCAGATCATAATGTACCCAGGCCTTTAACAATTTGATTAAGGTTATGTAGGAGACCGGGTCGATGATGTGTGGAATTGCACCACGGGACTTTTCTGCTGACTTCATCGCTTCTTTTATTAGCTGGTACAAGATTGCACACTTTCTTTGTTTGTTTTTTGTTAAGTATGACTTGGATTTTTGACTAAAGTGACCGCCTGAAACTGCTCTTGAGCTTCTACTACATTTAAGGCTTCTTTGCTTTGCTTCAGATTGCCCAGCATATTAAGTACTACTGACAATAACAGGGCTACCATAAAGGGCTGGGAGCCAAGAATTAATTTCCCCTTGAAACTGTGAGCATGAACCCTGACTACTCTCACAGAAAACAAAAGAAATACAACCAAAACAACTTCCTGACTGTTCAATTCCCTGCCTACTGAATGCATATATCTGGCAACAAGAAATCTTAGTGACATGCAGCCCTGCAGTGCCGTACCTTAATCCACCACACAGGTTCAAGGGTCCTGCGCAAGGATTCATAAACACGTACAGTGCCCAGCCATACGATCCCACGGCAAATTTTATAAAATAAGCTGCATCTTCGACTAGAGACTTCTCTTTCTAGAGTCAAACATCATGGAATAACAAGAAAAAGAGTTAAGACTTGTATTAACCTCACTGTTCCAATCTTAAGCAAAAAAAACAAAGTGGAGTCTTGTTTGGTACAGTGTACCTCATTTCAAAAGAATTGAACAATAATTTGTCAAAACATTTCAAACTGTAGAGTTCACAAAAATAGGAAACAGAAACAAGATAACAACCAATCAAATCAATATGACATGAATTGTAGTTTCCAAATCTTCTTTACAGTTTTTCTAAGTTTTCTTCTTGAAAACTTGTCTTTGAAGTTACTGGTGAATAATCAGTAAAGAGCATGAGACAGAATGTTAGCCAGCAGATACTGTTTGGCCAAGGAAATGTTTTACTTTCTTTTACCATCAATGGAAATCTCCATCTTAACTTACAGGGTCATTCAGATTTACAGGAGTTCCTTTTTGAGCCATCTGCGGAAAAAACGAGAGAAGAAACAAGTAAGACCTGAATGGCAATTATGTGCTCTTGCATTTACTGATCCTCTGTCAGAGGCTTCCTGATGCTGTCAGGGATTCATGTCTTTAGGTACATTAAAGCCTGGTTCTCACATGCTGCAGATGTAGCTGCGACAGAGCTGCCAGTACTGCCTGAGAAACTACTGTGAGAACACATTGCCACTGGTAACAAGAAACATTGCAGGTTTTTACCACCGACATGAATGTGAAGAAAACAGATTCTCTTGCAACAAGAAACATCACAGGTCTTTACTGCTGGTTGAACTTGAGTCAACTTTGTAGGAAGCCCGCTGTGAAGGCTGGGATGGACCCTGTTGCCAGTGACCTCTGTTCTCATAGGAACAGTATGTATCGCAGGCAACACAGGCAGCTATGTTGCAGGTAGCTTGGTGGCATATGAGGACTACAGTGCAGGCTTAAATAAGTTTAAGCAAAGCTGTATTTTACATTGCTTATCTCCTGATTCTTATGGAGTTACTTTGGCCCTATTGATGTCTGAAGAGAAAACTACTCATCTAAAATATGGGTAGTAGTGATGCTAAGAAACAATTTGCAACTCCGTATAGAGTTTGTGAAATCAATCAAAAACCATTCATTCTTGAGAGCTAAAGATAGCCCATTGTGTACAATGTCATCTGGGTAATGTGAAAACAGTTTTGCATCTGAAATTATCATATTTCACTGGGGAGGCACATTGCTAAGTAGGTTGCCTTTACATGATGTTAGGTGGCCAGATTATCCTCAAGTCAACTAGTTTAATTATTTATTTATTTTTAATATTAAATAATAACATGACTAATAACTATCATCTTTAAAATTACAAATTTGGGAGTCTAACACACAGTCTAACACTTGACAAAAATATGAAAACATCACCAAAACAAAAACTGTAATCTCTCAAAAATGATGGAAAAGTGACAGATACAGATTCTTAAAGATTCAAGTCAAAGAAAAGAGGAGTAAAGTTCAGTGCCCCCTTTTTTTTCACTCACCTCCCCTTTAGCCCTGTTTTGACGGTCTTCTCTGTCTTGCTCTTCTCGAAGTAGAATAAGACCAACAGCCACATCAGATGGCACAACATCCACATCATGGAGTCCAGATGCTAAAATATCCGCAATATCAGACACAGCACTTAAGTATTGATCATCTCTCCCAGCAAAACAACAACAGAGTAAGCGACATCTCCTTTCCCACAGCTGTTGAGTAAAATGACAAAATCAGTAAGTTTAAAATACAGTTTAACCCCTTCAATAGTGGCTTTTAGGCAAAGTGGCCATTGCAGACACAGTGGAGAGAAAGGGGTATACAGGTAAACAGGATGAGGATGCAACAGGAGGATGCAACATCAGATACATGTGTACTGATCACTCATTGAAAGAGAAACTCAACAAGCATAACCTGCGAAAACATCAGTTTCTCCTCGCTCTTCATCGCTGAGGACGCTTCGCGAAGAGGAAGAAGTCATGGGGTAATATAAATTTGTCCAATTTTTCGTGTCTTCTGGTCGATTTTGGTAAAATGTTGTGTTGATCTGCCCACGAGCTCCAGCAAAACTCAAATGCTTCTTCTAGAGAAGACTATATTCCACAAATATTGACTGTTTTGTTAGAGATTCTTTGTGTTTACATTTGACCTTTTTGGCCTTTTGTCTTTTGTCTGTCATTCGTAAACAACAGCTAAAACAATGTAACTGCTCCGTCGACCAATCAGCGCTTCTGGCCGGATTCTGGACAGATTTTACGTCATCAGTATGGAATTTCTGTCGCTGAGTCGCAGACATTCCTCCGCGCGAAACGTCCTCAGCGACGAAGAGCGAGGAGAAACGGATGTTTTCACAGGCTACAACAAGCACCACTCTGGATTAAGCACCCTCCTTTGAATAGGCACCTCCTCCCCCTCTCGTATACCCTGGGTATCAGAGGTTTCTTCTCATACAATGTGTGACAAGTAGCTTCCCCAGCTGCAGGCCAACACGTCTTCAGCCATACATCTGTAGGCCAAAGACACAAGTGGCAAAGACTCAACCAAAGCCTCTGGTACCAAAGAAACCTCTCAGCTGAGATTAAAAAAAAAATACCCATTCATTTATTCACATTTATAATCAATTAAAGCTCACTGCTAATCCATACCTTCTTTGCTGACTCTTGCATTGTGGAGCTAAACTCCTGTTCAAAAGGGTCACAATGAACTTTCCCAAGGGGATCAAACAGCACCAAAGCTCCAATCAAAACAGTCAAGAGGATAGCCCACTGCAGAGCGACTGATACACATACAGCCACGACCAAGCCAAGCTGACAATTATAGCTAAAATGCTTAACTGTCCAGTACGTACCAAGAATTGTCCAAATCAGTTCAGGAAAATATAAAGTGAGTTGAAAATACAGGAGCTTTGGCATGTGTCGACGTGGCCTGGGATTGGTCAATGTTCCCTGCATGCTGACGTATAAGATGGCCATTTCATTAACGATTATCACGCTGGTTAAAACAATCACACCAATGAAGAACACCTGCAACTCCAAATGAGCCTCGCATTTTCTGATCTCGTCAATTTGGAAACCATAAATGAAGGATATGATCACCAACCTATTCCAAAAAATTGATGAGTCTTTTTCTCCCTTTTCTTGTAATACGTGCACCTCTCTACAAGATCAAAAATCTTCAGTTATACATAGTCGCTTTTACTATTTGATTCTTTCGGATCTGTGCTGTAAAAAAATCGTATTCAGTTGTTTGTCATATGAAATCCCTGTGGTGCCAAAATTTATTACCCACCATTACTGAAAGCCCAGTACTATCAGCGTGTAAATATTGACTCTGGTTAATTAAAGCTGATCAAGACTCACCATAATACTCTGATTATTAGTCCCACTGCTGCTGGAAAGAACAGATCATCACTTCCAATGCGCCAACGGCGATTAAACGCAACCAAAGCGGGCATAATAAAGTCCACAAACGAAAACTAGACTGCAGTGTTATGTTTCAGCAATTCCCTGGCTTCCACTCACATGATTTTGTTTACTAAATTTGGGTTATTAAAAAGCCACAACTAAATTTCTGTACCAAAAATTACTTCCAAGACAAACGGTTAGACATTACCTTCCATCTGACGGATCACTAAAAAAAAACAGCCTGTCATCGCCATCTTGAAAATTGCGCGTAAACTGGGAACGGACGGAAGTTTGTACATGCGCATCGAGGACAATCGATGGTTGTTCGGCGTCGGAAAGAGGATTTGAATTTTTTTGTTTCAAAGTTTTTTAGCTTCGAATTTGAGATAGATTTTACCTTGATTTCGTTCATAGATACAGGAGTTTTAACTCCTGATATTGCTGCTTGAATAACGTCAAAATTGGACTCAATTTCTGCTGTGTTTCGTCCTTTATTCGCTGTTTAGCGAACATGGCGTCAAATTCTCCAGGTAAGAAAAAATATTTTAGCTTGGCTCTTTCTTTGAAAATAAAATTAAGGGTTCCAGACTTTCCTTAGACCCTGTTGATATAAGAAAATTCGACGCATTCACTTGGCTCTTTGATGTTAATCCGTAAAAAGTTATCGCGATTAATTATTGTCATGTACTTAAGCTGAAAATCTTGTTTTTGAAAAGATGGCTCTGGTGATAACTGAAACATTGTTGTATTGTTTAGGTAACTTTGATAAGCATGTAATCGATTATGAAGTGGTAACTCTTCGCCATTGTCTTTTATTCTAGGAGGTAGACTTTCGAGAGAGAAGCTCAAGCTAGATTTCCAGGGAGGATTAGAACGCAAAAAATTGAACCTTGCAGCGTTGAAAACCAGGCAACCAACACCACTTCAATCAAATATGTAGGTTGATAGAAACGCCATAGATAAAGTGGGTCAAAGTGATAACTTGATCTTTATACTTAATGTTACCTATTGTTCTTTACAGTTCTCCATTTAAGGTTGTTAGAGTGTGTGATTACGCCACATTCACACCATCCGGTACATTTTCCTAAGAATACTGATTATACATTGCATGTATTTCCTTATTGAAACAGTGGCAAATGAGGCCATGTTAATGTAAATTCTGGCAACTGTTATGGCTTTGAAACAGTGACCTTAGGACAGGTGAAATGGTAACAAACAACACCAAGGTGGATCAAAGCTGGGACAGCAACAAAGACAGGCACAAATACAAAACAAATATATGTGTTGGGAAAAGGCTTACTGATTCAATTTTCAATTAACAAATTCCTCATTTTATGAGTGACGGCCCAAGTAGGGGGCAAATAGCCTGACTACATTTGCTCATAAGCCTTTCAAACTAATCACGCAGCCAGGTCAACCACATGCTGGTAGACCAGATAGACCACCAAACTGGGGATTACATTCCCAACTCTTTACAATAATGGTGGGTTGGTTGTTTAACATTGCACAGATTTTAAAAGTGTATTTTGAAGCAAGGTACATTTGCAAAGTGGCTAATAATGAATAGAGAAGAAGTTGGTGATAATCTACTCCTTTTGCTATTTTTCAGGGAAAGATTAAGAACCCATAAAGCAGTAGGAAAACTGTCTTTTGGTCCTGACAAGGTAAAAGATTATATTAATATTAGTGTATTTTGTTTTCATAGTTTTTGTACATGTACTAATGACTTACGCAAAACTATATGTGCATGTATGTAACATTGATACTGGATAAAACATCCTTCAAAAATTAATGGTGGTTGTTTTACATGAGTTTTAATGCTGTATTACAATCGTGGTTATTGTGATAATTATTTTATCTTTCAAGTTCAAGCTAAGTTTAGTTTCTTTTCTTTTGTTTTTGTGTATACTTGCAGTGTCTGTGTTGTGGCTTACAGTAATTATTTCCTTGTTTTATATTGTATTAATTTTTTTTTATTTTGGCTATATCTTTTAATTAACAATAATGAGGTTTATACAAAGGAAGATAAAATTTAGACCAAGGACAAAATTGAACCATAACATATGCTTGATAAGCACAAAGAAAAGGAAAATAAAATTTGAACCAAGACGAAGTTAATAAGAATCACAATGGTTGTATGATCAAGGAACAAACTCATTACCTTAATACTCATGATTTGTGATTCTTGACTTTCAACTAAACCCTTGTGAATGAACTGGGACAAAATGTTGCACTGTGAATGAGACTGGATGAAAGGACTGAGATGGCCTAGGGTTATTAGATTCAGTGTATGGTGTAGTAAAATGCCAACTGTAACTATATGACTGTAGCACAGACTGGACATCATTGTTCTTTACTTACATGTACTGTTACCCTGGGTACCAGAGGTTTTTCTCGCGTGGGGCGGGAAGTTTCGGTGTTGGCCGAAGGCCGACACGTTTTCGGCCGTAGGCCGAAGCCACGAGCGGCGAAGCCGCGAGAAAAACCTCTGGCACGGAGCGGTGCTTTTTACCGTCCCCGTTGACCTTTGAGCTTTTTTATCGCATTACATTTACGCCAATCAGATTGAAAGTCTCCGACTGTGATCATGTGGGCCGGCACGTGAAGAAATGTCCGAAGACCCACATTATCCTTAGAAAGACAAGTTCGTGTTTAAAATTCATTGCTTTTAGAGCAATCATGACTGGGTCAAATCGAAGTTCTCCATAATTGATGTAGCTTCAGTTTAAGCTGCAATCCATTCTTCGAGATTTGGATCTGAAAATCACTGTCCGTGAGAATTTAACATCCTGCTAAAAACGCTAACGAGCTGGGCCCAGCGTGACAAAACATTGCAGGAAACCGTCACTTTCACCGACAAAAAGAAAATCGCTTATAATTATTCAGATCCAGGAGGCTCTTTGGAGAAATTAAACAACCTAAAACCCTCATTTGGACGCATTGAAGAGCTTAACATTTCAAAACAGGTCAAAGAAAATGCTCTTGCAACAGCAAATCATATGCCGACCAGACACAATAACCGCAGAAAATCAATATGCGTGTCACGACCTCTAAGTATGAAACAATCGGGAAAAATCAAATTTGCTCAGTTGAAACGTTTTTCTCCAGAGTATAATCTACCCATCCCGGAAAAAATTCATTGGAACAAGCAGCATTTTAGCATGAGGTAAAAGTCGTGTGTTGCCTTCTGACCCCTCTTTTATTACTAAGAATAATACAAACTATTTCAAAACATGCGTTGTAATCGTTTGAAATAGGAAATTAGTAAAGCTTAAACCGTATTGCTGCAAAAGCTGAATTGGTGATAATAGCTTAATTGCGTTGAATAAACTTGAATACTCCACTTGTTTGCTCATAGCTTTTAGCTTGTCTACACCGTCAAACCCTTCTAGTAAATTTCTTATCATGCTCTTTCAAAACTTTCCAAAGCTGCCATCACAACACTTCTCGCGAGTACAACAACAGCAAAGTTGGAAATATTCTTTCACGCGCTGGTCTATTCTTGTCAACCAATTGTAGCGTCTGTTAGATTCAAAGTCCCTCAGGTGGTCGTTAGTAGCCAATCAGCCGTCTTGTCCAAAATCTGGACCAACTGATTTAACCGTGCTAACGATTGGATCGGCGCCATCAAAGCAATAGCGCTCTGCTCCAGAGGCTTTTCGCGCGGGTCACTATAAAGACTTGACAGAAACCGGAAACCGCGCTAGAAAAGTCTCTGGCACCCAGGGTAATGTACTGTGAAAAACTTAAGGAACTGTGTGGACATACAGTAGCCTGAGTTCATTAACTGGGATTGCTACTCCCATGTTTTTTTTCATTATAAATAGAATTATGAGTATTCTTCTGAGGACCTGGCAGACTATGGGGAGATTGGAAGAGGAGCTTATGGCACGGTGAATAAGATGTTACACAAAGAAAGCGATACTTACATGGCAGTGAAGGTAATAATAATAGCAAGGCTGCTGCCTAAGAAAAATTTTAGGGAGCCCTTCGGGCTCCTAAAGTTTAAAGTTAGGAGCCCGAGCCACATTGTTAGGAGCCCAGTTTGAAATCCATGTATTGTTTTTCCAAGATCATTACATAGGTTATAGAGGTTCTTGCACACTTTAATAAGAATTCGCCGGGCCTAATAAATAACACGTAAACAAGAATTAACCGAATTATTTACTTTCATTTATTAATTTATTCAATTAACTTCCACATCTGTTGTGTTCAATGTGACCTAGAAGAGCCTTCAAAGAATTTTCTAAAATGTAACAATTAAACTGCTTCTTACCTTTCTTATACACATTCATGAGCCGGAAAAATATTTGAGGGGCTTAATTTGCGTGTAAAAGGAATTTTCACAATTTTCACAATAAAAGAATAACATAACAGTAGGTAATTTCAACTCAGAATTATTTACTTGACTTTCACATTTGTTCAGTAACAGTTGTGTTCCACATGACAACTTAAGATGAGAAAAATGCAAGGGGTGACAGGCCGCACATCCATACCGGCGTGAAACTGGGCTTAAGACAAATTGCTGAAACCTTTGTCGATTTTAGCGAGAAAAGAAGAACCTTTGCCGATTTTAGCGGGAAAAGCAGAACCTTTGCCGATTTTAGCGGGAAAGGGCGCTAAGCACGTGCAGCAAGGCAGAAATACAACCAACACAAAGTTGATCATTACTTTAATTTCTTTATTCAAGGTAAAGACATCACATTACAAATATGAAATATCATACTGCGTTCTCTGGCGTGTTGTTTTTTAAAGTCTCTTGAAAATGCTGATACGTTGCAAACTGGTACATGAAATCGAACATCAAGCACGTCCAGTCGATAGCACGCAAGATAGCTTCCCATTCTCGCCACAAAAAAGTTATCAAATCGACGAAAACCCAAGCAAACGATGAACTGCACGAATGTCAACATAGGCAACAAACAGCCCATAATTTTGCTATTCCATATTTGGAAGTCAAATCTCAGACCCAGTCTTCAACTGCCATCCGGACTCGGAAACGATGGCTTCGTTCGTTTCGACAAAGCTTCACAGTTGAACACGTTAGGTTTACATAATTTACGGTTTATTTGTGGAAATTTTATACTGCCTAATCGCATCATCGCTAACCATATCAACAGTTCCACTGTTTAAAGTCCTACTCCAGCTAAAGGAATATAATGTACAAGGAGGTTAAGTCTAATGCCGTGTGTTAAGTCAGGCGCCCGCGCGGGCTCCTTGTACCGAAATTTGGTCGCCCATGCTCTTACCTTGGGCGCCTCTGGCGACCGGGCGCCCGTTAGGCAGCAGCCTTGAATAGTGATAATGTAATAATAATAGTTAATAGAGTATGATCGTCCGGGTGAACGTAGTCCTGAATAGGGCTGTTGTTGACAGTGACTGACATTTTGACTACCTATGTGGTATTCATCTTTAGAATCAAAGTGAGGTGTATCACATCAGTTGATGGTGTTAAACTCTGGTTATTGATCTGGTTGGTCAATTAAGTTGCAATGTTATTGGTCATCTGTCAGTTAAGCCGTAGTCGATCCATGTACATTGTATTGTCACAGTTAAACAGTCGTTTATTGTTAGTAAAATTTTATTGTTGGTTGTCCAGTCATTCTGTCATAGTTACTTTTGGTTGAGTCTGTCATTAAGTCATTTGTATGGTGATAGTAACAGTTGACAGTAACAAAGAAAGCTCAATATTATTGTTTGTTGAATACAGCCAAGATCTGAAGAAGGATCCTGGAGACCTAATGATGTAGGCATATAGCTTAATGATTTGTGGAGACAAGACCACCTATACATACTATTGGTGTGAGACATGAACACAATAAATATATTATTATGATACACACAGTATCTCCTACTTGGATCAGCCTAGTAACTGGTGGTTTGGTCATCACTACATGTATGTTGACATTGCACAAAGTGTGGTAATCTTGAAGCAACTTGAGTGAGAGTTTAAGCAGATGCTAAGTTCTTCACGTGACTGTTACATCTCTCCACCAAGAAATTTTATTTACCCTTAGTGTGTAAGGATCTTAAAATATAAAACAGATCAACTGGGGCAAAAGGACAAAGTACATGTATGTTAGTGACTGGACAGTACCTTTACCACTCTTTTAAAGAAATAGTCAATACACTGTTCCTGTTAATACTCTAGCATGGTTGATGTTATATTATTTTTTCTTGATTTCAGAGAATTCGTTCAACAGTTGATGAGAAGGAACAGAAACAGTTGTTGATGGATCTGGATGTTGTCATGCGCAGCAGTGACTGCAAGTATATCGTCAAGTTTTATGGAGCCTTATTCACTGAGGTGATGACACCAAAAAATATTGTCTTAATTTGTTTTTAAACCAGGCTTTTATTGTTTCTGAAGGGGAAGGGTTGCAGCACAGAAGTTAGCCACTCACTGAAATAAGGGGAAATTGATTATCTTAGTTGATCTTGCTTTTCCACCTTTTTGTAGGGCGATGCCTGGATTTGCATGGAACTAATGGACACATCTTTGGACCAGTGCTACCGTCATCTCTATGGTGTCATTCAACAATCTATACCTGAGGATATTTTAGGAATGACTTCTTTAGCAGTAAGTTACACCTCTCACTATTGTAACCTTGCAGCATTGACAGGGACACACTACTGTACTGAGATGTGTGTGTGATTTATATTCCCACACACCAAAATCCTAGGCAAAGAAAGTGTCCAGCTATTTAGAATGAGAGATGCCATACATTATTAATACTTTTCTGACAGCCAGATTTTCTACTAAAAATGAAGAACTTTATTGCATCAAAGATGCATGACTAAGAGAGAGAATGGGAGAAAAAATTGAGGTTGTTATTTTATTTCTCTAACAGGGAGGATCATTCTACCATTGCCTCTCAACAAAGTTTTTGTCATCTGTTTTATGTGTTTATTGAATTAGTATTAAAGCTGAATCATTGGATATTCAATTCTAGAGCTCTGATTGGCTTAGCCATCATGGTATATGAGCCATTATACCATGCTCTCCAAAATCAATTTGTTCAAAAATCTTGAAGGGGAGATAATTATACAGTTTAAGCTTTTATTTTTACCCCTTTAACCTGAATTGTACATCACTATGGCAGTGGTGGTGCAATCTTTTCTGTGAAAGAGTTCTCCCACACGTATTTAGAATCACATGTTATATTCAGTAAATTATAGCACTGGAAATTTTTTTTGATTCTCAGGTTGTTAAAGCTCTGGACTATCTTAAAACCAAATTGAATATTATTCATAGAGGTAAGCTAAAGACCTTGGATTTCCACTGTAGTCGTCAGGACATCCTGGTAAATACTGTGTACTAGCTGTAAGAGTGATAATAGCTTACTTGTGTTCTCTCTTGTGTTTCATTATCTTTCATGTTGTCCTTCAGCAGCATGATAAAAAATATAATTATATGATTTTAATGAGGCTTTAAACTGCTATTAAAAAATAAAATTTAGATCAAAGCTTTCGCTTATTAACGGCATCATCTTTGTTTGTTCCTTTAGATGTAAAGCCTTCAAACATTCTCTTAGACCTTCAAGGACACATTAAGTTATGTGACTTTGGCATCAGTGGCCAACTGGTAGACTCCATTGCAAAAACTAGAGATGCTGGATGCAAACCCTACATGGCGGTATGTATATGAAATTAACTCAGTATGTTGCTCCCACAGTCAAGACTTTGATGTTTCACTTTCTCTCCTCCCCTCTTTTTTTGCTTTTCTTGCACTTTTTGTTTCTTTTGCTAGGAATTTACTAGGCTTCATTTGAGTGGGAAAAGTTCGGGGGAAAGCTTTTTGTAGTGTAGGATTACATGGAAGGATGTGTACATGTACTTTACATGTATTTAATAATAATTAGGAGTCAGAAAGAATGAAGGTAGTGTTCTGAACTGAAAAGTATTATATTTTTAATATTCTTTTGGTAGCCGGAGAGAATAGATCCCATGTCATCAAGACAAGGAAGTTATGATATCAGGTCAGATGTATGGAGTTTTGGTATAACACTGGTGAGTCAAAAGGAAAATCAATACAAGTTACATCTAAAACTTATTTTCTTAGTCCCATAGATTGCTCACATCTTTAGTAATAGCAATTAAGCAAGTGAATTTTCAAGCTAAGGTATAGGAAACCACACATTATTAACAGGAATTGCTTTTGTTGACTTTTTGCCCCATATCAATTCAGTGCATATGGATTCTGTTTCTCATCTAACTAACAGTGATTTGATTATTTTGCAGATTGAAGTTGCCACAGGAAAATTTCCCTATCCCAAGTGGAAGAGTGTTTTTGATCAGCTCACCCAAGTTGTGAAAGGAGACCCACCTCGCCTGACAAATGAGGATGGAAGAAATTTCTCTGATGAAATGCTTTCATTTACCAACATGTGGTAATTGTTTTAGGAAAATTCCCTGCATGACAATTAAAGCTCCTTTGTTCTTAATGTCTTTAGTGAGGTGAACTTAAGTTATATGTATTTGTCTTAGTTCACAAGACTAGTCTTAAAAGCATGGTCTTTAGCTTAAAGGCATAAGTTTATGCAAAGTCTACATTTGCCATTGATGAGTTATCAGCTTTCAAGGGTTGACTCGACTGGGCTTAGGTTCAATTACTGCTTTTAAGAGGGAGGCTCTCAAATAGCATTCAACTACTTTACTTTAAACAACAATTCCAGCTATCTTACAGTATCAAGGCGTATTCCTGGACCGTTGCATGAAAAGCTCCTCGTTTTTGCTTCCTTAATTTCTCCTTCAAATTCACGAACCATTGTTTTATCACAGTATCTTGTAACGACTACAACATTTGCCAAAAATACTCCCATTTGCATCGTGTTTTGTAGCTCTCTCAACGTTTAATATTTGATGAAACACTCTATCACGTGTTTGATGTATCACTTCACATGGTGTGGTTATCATATAGAACACTCCTTTTTGAGTTTTAAGTCTAATGACAAAATTCTTCTTCTGTCATTCCCTAAGGGACTGTTTATATGGAGGGAGGAAGATCCTAGAAGGCGGAGAAGGAGTTTACGTACAGACATTTTTGTCCATGTTGTTACCAAGTAGAGAAAGAATTAAAGATGGCGGACATCAAAAACAAAAATAGGAAGATTCTAGCACTAGGGACATGTGCAACCCTTTGCATGTAAACTGAGTACAAAAATGTATGGCGCTAGGATGATCTGCCTTCTTAGTGTGAAATCTCATCGGTCTCTTTGCCTCACTCTCTCTTGCCTTGGCACCTGTTTGGGGTGGGAGGGGGGCTGGGGCAAAGAAATGGATGAGATTTCAGACTACCACCTTCTAGGATCTTCCCCGTTCGAAGTAAAAAGCCCCTTACTCTGATTACCTTGCATTAATTTCAGAATTCTTTTCATTTTTTTTTTACTAGTTTGACAAAAGATGTGACAAGAAGACCAAAGTACCGTGAGTTACTCAAGCATCCTTTTATCCTGAGGTATGAGGAAAAACAAGTCGATGTTGGATCCTGGCTCAGCGGAGTTCTGGCGCAGGCGCCATTGCCAACGTTTGATAAATTAGAGATATGATGTCTTTACCGAACTATTTTTGCACAGATTTAATGATGTAAATACATAAATGCCTTATTTGAGCACATTGTAAAAGTCACTTAGCAGCTAAAAGTGGTGGTAAATAATTTTGATATATTTTTTTGGCTTCAGGAGGCAGGTACATTGTGTATTGATTCGTTTTCACCATGTGATGCCAGATCAATGTAGGTTTCTGGCAAACTGACCACCTTCCCCTCCCCTGAGCCAACATTTTGCCCTAAGTTAGAGGTTAAGTGTTAATGTTGGCTTAGGAGAGGGGTAGGTGGGCAGTTTCTAAGAAACCTAAATTGACCCGCATGCGCACAGGAGGCCATCTTGGCTTTACGGGCAATTATAATACCATACTGACTCAATGTGATGTATGGAATTTACTTCGCACTACTTACCTGTATATTTGCAGTGTTGGAAGTGTATTGTTGCCAAAACTGCTCCATAAGTTGCTTGCTGAAATGTTCATTTGGTTTTTCTTTAATGTCACGATTTTTAAACTAGCTAGCCAAGTTGTTCCGCTTACACTATTTGAAATGTATCTCAGTGTGAACTTGAGAAAATAGCGGAAGTGAAAGAATATAGCCCACTAGCAAGCTCTTCGGGGCTAGAAAGAACCTTGTTTGCTAATGAACAGAAACTCTAGTCCTATACTAAGGAATTTCTGTGATGTAAGTATGCCAGTGGTTCTGTAGACCATAAGTTGTTTTTTATATATTTTGCCGCTTGTCAATTTATTGTAGCGTTAAAAAATATTCCTTTAGTACTTTATCTAGAATTTTCCCTTTTACAGTTTCTTTGGTGATTTACTAATATAAAATATGAACCTTATTTGATCCACCTTTTATTATTCTCAAGGAATCTTTAGTCAGTCTTGCCCTTTAAGTTTTATACAGATAAAATAATGTGACATGTCCTAAAGAGTATATTTTTGATCTTTCGTGAAGAATATTCTGTACCGAGTGTGGGAAATTACTGCATTTGTATGTACAGTGTAATCCTATTTGTACTCTGTAATATTAGAAATCGTAGTGTTTAACTAAAGAAGTTCGAATATAGCAATTAAGTAGCAAACAGGCGTAAAATTACTATTGATAGTAATCTATTTGGACAAACTGAGGACGGTAAATTTTCTCCGCCGAATATTGCGCAAAAATTGTGGCGATCACCCTACGAAGACATGTTTTAATTAAAATTGTTATTTATTTCTAAGGGATATGTAGAAAAGCTTGAAATGTGTGAGAGCAGACTAAGTCAAGTTAGTGACGCTTTTAGTTAAGCAAGAGACCGAGAGCGGAGATGATTCTCAAGAGTTTTGTGTAAACTGTGTTAGCTATGGTGATGATAATAATAAAAGAAATTTGAAATCTTTGATTACCAGCTTGTTTCATTAAAGTGTTTCCCCCACTCCTCTCGGGTTAGGTTTCGTCACGCGTTCCTGCTGAGGGGCGAGGACTGTGAGGGGCGAGGACTGCGTGAAGTCAAAGAACGTCTGCGTGGGAGGCTACCACTCCTCCCCCCTTCTTTGACTCAGTAACATTGAAAAGTGACTGCATTTTGATAAAAAAAAATGTTTGAGAACGCTGTTTGTGAAGCCAAACCCTCAACGAGAAAAGAGGCTGGCTGGAGTCAATTCGACCTGCAGCCTGCAACAACGAGTAAGATTCACCGACGACAGAGAGACTTAAACAATGTCCGAAAATTCAGATTTTACCCCTTATCCTCCAGCAAATTTTGACAAAGCGCCTTTATAAACGGTAGTGAACGTTTATAACGAATAAACAACCGTTGGGTTAGCTGGAGTTCACGAAGCACCTGGCCTACTGCAGTGCGCGCGTTTATCGGTGGTAAAATTTGTAAAATTTCTGTTTATAGAGACTTGTATAGAGCGATATAAATGACAAACATGCTATCGTACATGCATAGAGTTTGTAGTGGAAAAGTCCGTTTTCGCGACTCTTCTGATCTTCTATTTCATTTCTTGCGAAGTGGACCGCCGTACACAGCCTAGTTCTATTCACCTTAACTCTCAGCCATATCATAGCGACACGCGTTGGTTTAGACTTATATCTTGTATGACCTGTATTTTTAAAAAATTAATTGACTTCTGCGACCAAACGACTGGTAACAAAGAAAGACTTGGGTCCATTTAAAATTGACAGAGGTGTAGTTGATTCCAATCGATCGGTCAGTCTTCCCTTTAATATAAGGAAAATCCTTTGTACTTATCCTCGGAAGAGTAAAGATATAAGAGGTCTTCAAATGTTTCAGATCGGCGACTTTGCATCGTTCCTGGCTGGACGGCTGACTTGCATACCGCGCGGAGATTTGTTTGTTTCATGGTCGGGTGGTAGACTAAGGCCAGACTCCATAAAATTCGGAGATTCAGTGGAAAAAGAATCTCCGAATTTTCTATGGTTTAAGACTGCCAAAGAATATACAAAAACCGAAAAAGATATCTATGTATGTGGCACATATATCCCACCTCAAAATTCCATTTACTTTTATCCTGAACTATTTGAAGAACTTAAAAAGGATATTGAGAAATTCTCGGCTTTTGGATCAATTTTTCTCATTGGTGATTTCAACTCTAGAACAGGCAAATACTCAGACAATGTCTGTCAAGAGGGCAACCCATTATAACAAACGATCAATCTGAATTCTCCTTATGCGCCCTTCAGCGACACAGCTTTGATAACGAATTAAATAACCACGGTAAACGGCTTTTAGAAGTATGTAGGAGTGCAGATCTAACGATTATGAATGGTAGATCCCGTGGCGATTCGCTGGGAAGGCCAACATTTCATGGTAAATTAGGAGTTAGCGTTGTTGACTATGCAATATGCGACCAAGACTTATTCCACTCCATCGCAAATTTTGTTGTCAAAGAGCCGTCGAGTTTATCAGATCATAGTCCAAGCTTAGTCCAATAATGACAGGACTTAACATTACTAAGGTAAATACTCACTTAGCTACAGAAAATACTAATGATACATTAATTTGTTTACCCAAACAGTTTATATGGGAAAATGATTCAACACAAACATTTAAAACAGCACTGCAAACAAGCTAGAGACACTGACAGAGAATGATACATGATTTTCTTGTTGACAGTAGGCCAGACAAACACATAAACTCTTCTCTCGATGCAGTAGAAAGGATTCTTTTTACAGACGCAAAACATTGTTTGAAAATTAAGAACGTTAAAAGACGATATACTAGATTATCTTCTGCTTCGTCTAACAAAAAATGGTTTGATAAAGAATGTCGTCTTCAGAGACACGAATTGAGGAAACTTGCTAATCTAAAACACAGAGACCCTCTCAATATTACGCTTAGGGAAAACTATCACACTGTCTAATTTTTAAAATTTTTAAAATTTTTAAAACTAAACTAGTGAGCAGCACTCTGCGAACTGTTGCTGTAAAACTTGTTTATTCTCCTACGCGTTTCGTCTAACTAACGTAGACTTCTTCAGGGAGTTTTACAATCAAATACTAAACGCCTGTATTTAAGCCATAATATGACTAAAAATAATGATGGTCGCAAACATTGAAGGTTTGGCCGGATTTACGAAAAGGAACAGGCGCAGCTGTGAATTTTTTTACGCAAGGCGTAAGAATACTTTGGGGCCACGGTTTTAGCCGTGGCCCCAAAGCTGATTCAACTGCTGGAAAATACGGTCTTGCCCGACGGAGATTGTTTCCTTGTCACTGCGGATGTCGCATCGCTTTATCCGAACGTTGACACTAAGAAGGCGCTTATAGCCCTTGACCTGCTCCTTCGTGAAGCAGGGGCTCCGGAGACCCCACTTTTGATTCAGCTCGCCCGGCTTGTTTTTGAAAACAATTATTTATCTTCGGAATTTTGTCCGGATATTTTTCATCAAAAGTTTGGGATTGCTATGGGCACTCCTTTTTCTGTCACAGTGGCAAACGCGTTTATGTATCATCACGAAAAGGATATTGTAGATCATTATTCTCAATATCTTATCTTATACAAGCGTTTCATTGATGACATTTTTGCCATTTCAGGGTCGTAACATGGTATATGGGCTCAGGGCTCAAAGCCCGAAATATGACTGGGATCAGGGCTCAGAGCAAACGGCTCAGGGCTCAGAAGAATGGGATCAGGGATCACAAGGCTTTTGAGCCCGAATCAGGGATCAGATTTATTACACGGTCTAAAAATCTCTTATCACAATATTTTTCCGCTTTATAAGGTTTGTGTCCATAGAATTTCGTGGCCGAGGTACATTACCTATTCTTGCTTCCGACTGGCGCGGGGGCTGGAGGCAGTTCCTGTCATACGAAGTCCTGGTTGTTTGACGAAAACATGATATCATATTCTTAATTTATTCACTGTTAGGGCACCGTCATGATATGAATCTCAAGTCACAAGGCAATGGCAAGGGTCCAAGCATAGAGTTTTTCGGCCAATCAAACATAACAACACATGAACAGGACAATAGACGAACCGATTCATTGAAAGCGGAATTTACTGTATAGGTCCGGATTGCCTCATTGCCGCAAGCAAGTCACAAGGCGACTATAAATCGAGGTTTGTATTTTTTGACCGGTAACTTAACTCTTAAAAGTACTTAAATAATTAGAATGGACGTCAAAAGTAGAATACAAAAGTACAATGAATTCGGGCGCTTTGTTGCAAAATAAATGCTTTCTCGCAATTTAATAAATCTTCTCTAATTGGATGGAGTTTTAGGGTTATCTTGAACTCTGATGAGAAACCGAGATCGGTTCACCTTTCAGTACTAGTATTGGGCCGGGAAAGTAAAGGACACATTCCATTACTGTGTAACTGATAAACCCTTGTATGATAAATAGTCTGAAATTACAGTGCAGAATTAGTGAGATTTACCTCGGTGAAATAAAAGTAACAAAACCTTAATAGTTTATTTTCTTTATTTTTTTTTTTTAATAAAATAAACGGTTGAATGAGTGAAAGGAATGTTGCATACTAGGTACAAGTAGCAGAGTCTGCAGGAATTTAATATATTATAACACTCAGCATGAAGGGCCACCAGTAAGGTGCCCACTATTTGATTTTTGAGCCGGGAATGGGTTATTTTTTTCAAGCAAGATTTTTTCAGACCTCATTCGTGCAGTGGCTATTTTGTTTTGCACAAAATTTACAGACTTTAGTGACAATATTGATCTACAAGAATTTTTTCGGTGCTTTGGGCTATTCGGCCTCGGCTTATGTAATGGTTGGCCCCGAAAGGTATCACCACCTTAGATGTGGAGCCTGAATTTTCCGGTGGAGTGAGAACACCTGCTCTGAACGAATACGCATCGCGGCTGCCCAGCTGCCTTTTAGAATCAATAGAGAGGCTCTACCAATCCTCGTTTATCTTTTATACCTGTCCTCAAAGCCATTACACACAGAGAAAGCTGGGTCCAAAGGCACCGGAATGGCTTCGAAAGTCGCACGGCAAGAGTAAACCTTAAGGAGGGTATGGACGAGGAAACGAGCGCGGAGGGAAAGGAGCGATAAAGAAAGGCATTGCAGAGCTTTGCGAAAGAATTCAGACGGGGAGTACCACAGCAACGAACGAGAGGGAAGACCAAAGAAAGAGCTGGTACACTTCTACTTGCTCTGAGTATGTTCAGAAGGAATGCGTCGGCATATGGATCGGAGAAGTCGAAGGTTCAAGCCGGAGTGAAGGACAAACTACAGTTCAAGACGCAGCCGAAGAATATGAGATTATCGATTCAAAAGGCGACGTGGTTGCTCTCAAGCACAATTACAAGAGGTATATCATCATAACGGTGTATCATCATAACGGTGTATCTCCACCATAACGGTGACGCATTCCTGGAAGATCACACGGGTTTGAGATGGCTGGAACAGTCAGAAGAAGATCGCCTTGTATACCAGACTGGGCACCGTGACGATAGAAATTCACGTAAGTGTATCATCGGGAAAGTTCAAATAATAAAAGATGGAAACAACTTCTGTTTGAGCTGCCTTGAAGAGTAACGCCTAGTTGCATTGCTCCAGGGGTCAGTTGAATCAGATGATTCACCTGCGTCAGGTGGTGACGAAGAGGAAGGGGAGCAAGCTTAGGCGGACAACTTTTCAGAGCCAATTAGATTTGAAGCTGGAAGGAGTAGGTCTGGAAGACCTACAACCAGATATGTCCTCTGACAATCTACAATGGTTATTAAGCCAGGGAAAGCCATTTATGGGCTTGACACAGAAAAGCTGTTAAACTGTAGAACCTGTGGCTTGCATCATTTAAGTTTTCTACTTCATGTAAAGCAGGTATTATGTTATTGGTAATTGATCGTGATCCTCACTGTAACACACACAGAGTGAAAGAG